ATTTATCTGCCTCCGTGCAAGAGCTGCAGCATTGTGCGGAGCAGGTGCTGCCGCGGCATTCCTACCCTTTAAATAATGTGGAAAGGACACACTCGAGGGATGTGTGGGACCCGTGGCACTCTGCTGCTGCTGCCTCGCTGTTGTTCTTGAATAGCCTTCAAAAACTCACACTGCCAAGTGGGCTCGTTTTCACATTGAACCGCTGCCCCACTCTCCCTCTCTCTGGTTTAGAGGTATGCTGACATCAGCAGGAATACAACACGCACAAAATATCTTATAAACTTATACCACCCACCCTTGTTGGACTTCTCTCCTTGTATATTTCCCTCTACTTTTAATACCCTCGTTTGTTTGACTTTGGGGGTTTCTTTGCACTGTGCTTGCTAAGGAAAGCTCCTCTGTAAATGTTACAGCCATTGGTTTCTGGATTAAGTCCTCAGCTAGTGTTAAACAATAATCACATCTCCGAAGCTGCTTTATTTGTATCCCAGAAACCACCTTATTGTGCGGGTGTGACCCAAGAGGACTTGATTAATAACCCTCAGCTATGTAAACATGACCTCTGACCCGTCCCCGTCATGCTGCAGGGCACCGACAAGCGCTGAACTTCAAGTTCAAGCTCAGGTTTACAGGGTGCCCCTCATTTTTAACCTCTGCAGAGAAAGGAGACTGTCGTTGACCGATGACACCTGAAAGAGGAAACTGCTCTTCTGGGAGTGGGGGGGGGGTTTGTTGATGGAAAGTTCACTTCAGCGTCGCACTGTGATAAACACAGGGAAGACTCTGGGTGTCCAGGCTCTAACAACAAACAGCTGGACTACCCCCCACAGGCCAGAAGAACGGCTTTAGACTTCTGCTAATAGGGCAGAATACAGGATCCTATTAATTAGAAATGCCCTGACATAGCACAATAGAGCTCTTCATGTATAATTTTACTCCTGTGTGTGTGTGTGTGTGTGTGTGTGTGTGTGCTTTGAGGAATGTAGTAATAATTAGGCGTACATAGGCTACAAAATGCTTCCACATACATTTAACTACACCACTAGTGCATTCTCTCTGCTTAGGAGCATAGATGTCAAGCCAATGATAGACTAATCTGAAATTATAAGGTAGCTCTTGAATTTGTTGCGAAGAACACTGTAACATACGTTGTTGAAGTTCAGAGTTTTGTGTTATTCTGAGAGTCTAAGATCATTCCAAGTCTCAATTTAATTTTGGTTACAGACAAGCCAAGAGGTGCATTTGATACAGGAACCTGATAAAAGTGAGGGAGAGACCATACAGACAGTCCAGGAAATGTTAAAATGATTATCTGCTCCACTTGCAGAGTACTTCCTCCAAAACTATGAGCTATATGCTGGTAATTTCTGCCTTGATTCTCCAGCTGATTTGTGACCATGGAACATTTAGTTTAGTTTTTTTCCGTGCTCTTTTAAATGGGACAAAAGGCAAGCAGCAAAAAATGCTAAATGTTCTTAAAGACACACTATGCAAGATTTTTACCTTAATATAACGGCTTCGAAGTCATTTCGATGGTAAACGAACTCGTAGTACAGTGAATCATCCCGATAGCAAAGCAGGAGAGGGACGCCGTTGGCAGAACCAGCAATGCAAGTCTGAAAGGTGGCGGCCCGCCAAATCTTGCGAGAATCACAAATTGCTTTACAGCGCGACGTCACATACATCAGCGTCATAAGAAGCAGCCTCAATGGAAGACACTAGCAGGCATTCACTCAGACGTTACCTGGTCAGTAGACATCTTCGGAGTCTATCTTTGCCTGTTCGAAGTCCGACGCGTACCGGTATACAGGGGGGAGGGGATCAGGCTGTGAGTGCAGAGACGCAGAACCTTATATAGAGACGGTTCTGGTGAGTGGTATTTACGACAGTTAACGTTAAGTACAAGTACTCCGCAGCGACTCTAGGGGTAGCTGTTTGACAAAACCGGAAAACTGCATAGTATGCCTTTAAAGTTCTCACATATATATATATATCAGCACTAATTGCACATTTTTTTTGCTGCTTGAGGATAGAGGAACTCCAAAATAAGTTCACTGAGACACAGCCATGATATATTCACCTTTATGGCCGTAAATCTTCCTGTGGGTGCACAGTACTATAGGACAAGCCTACTACTTACATGATCTAGCTTCGAAATGTCTCAGTTTGGTTAGGTTTAGGCACAAAACCTACTTTGTTATATTTAGGGGGAAAAAATCATGGTTTAAGTTCAAATAAGTACATTAATCCAGGAGGTTATCGCAGGCAGTGTGTCATGTTGGCCAGACTGCAGACAGACCCAGTCCTGCAGACATGAAGCAACATTAACATTCATTTAAATTGTGTATCTTTCCATCTTTTGCACATGTAAATGCAGTATTCTTTGTCCCTTGGCTTTGTATTTGGTCTCCACCAACTACTTAACATTCGACTGTCTTTATGTGCTAGTCACTAACTTTATTGTGTGGTGCCGAGCAGGTGGCATACAGTTGGTTTATCATGGCTTCTTTGCAGAAAACAACTGCTGCTGGAAACAGGGTTCATGAGAGTGCTTTAAAGGTGCTAAAAAAACAAGCATTCAACATTTGAAATTGTGTTTCTGTCCACCTGGTGAATACAAGTGCAGCATTCACTCTCCTTTTGTCTTTATTTAGAGCTTATTTTAAACTCTTTAGGGCAGGGGCCTCAAACTGCAGGCCATTTCCGGCCCTCCACCCCCCTACATCCAGCCCGCAACATATAATAATATAATAATATATATATAATATAATCCTGAATAATGGAAATATTTTCAGAATATTGTGCTTTCTTGTAGTACTTAAAGGTTGAAGTGGTCCGATGAGATAACAATACCAACAGTTCCCCTGAGTCAATTTGAGTTTGAGACGCCTGCCTTAGGGGAAATATCTTGCAGCTAAATGCTACACTGGCTAGTGACTAACTGTCATTTGTTACACGGCAGGTAGTGAGAATAAGATGGTTAATGAAAACACTGAGGCTGAACCAAGCAATTAAGTTGGATGCCAAAAATAATTAGCTGAAAGATGCTGGAGTCGAACTGCATGAGCTATGAGCGACTCCTATCACATCATATTGGGGATTATATCACCAATATAACTGTTGATTAGTGCAGCTTTAAGTTGTTTTTGTGAACGTGTGAGAAACTTCTTCACTAGTTTTAAAACTCTTAAACTTTTAATTAGTGTTTATTAGGAACATTTCCCATAAAAATATATTCATTTAGGATATCTGACAAGTTAAATTTTAGTAAGTAATTTATATCATCACTCATTCATATGTCAGACATGTACACTCGTATTAGAGTCTGCAGTGTCTTTACTCGCTCTCTCAGCAAAATAAGTATTTGAATAGATATTTTCATTTTGGCAGGTCAAACCCACCCATGCTGCTTTTGCATTTGGTCCATTGGCGAGAGCGGTGATGCCTGTCTAGTGAACCACTGATCGAATTTTAAAAATGTCTGCTGCATCCCACAGTCTGACCGCTATCCAGGATGTCTGTCTGGACTACTTTCAGGTGTCTGTACTCATCCAGTTGGAATTCCCATGCTCAGCACCATCACCAACACCACAGGGTACCTCGTCACTATAAAACCATGTGATGGGAAAGTCTCCTTAAACACTATAAATCTCAAAACAGTCAAAAACAAATGTGACTTGGGAGGTTCTTTTTTACCAGCCTCAAAAGTGAGAGTGTTTGTTGGAGTCCCTTTTTTGTCCCCCAAGACACAAAGCCATTTTTGAACCTCTATGCATGTCAAAGGCCCTTGCTACAGTATTCACTGGACACAGGCTGCGGCCTTCCGCCAACCACTGTCAATTAAAGTGCAATTAGTCACACCAAAGCCTGCGTTTGAAAAAGCCCTCCACCAGTTCATTCCAGAGTCGCAGTGTCTCCACAGCAACCGGCAAAGTTTTGTGTGTGCTCACGTCCGCGCACCAATCCCATGTTGGTCGGACTGCAGCTGCTGGCCCCCGTGAACCAGCTCCTTCTTTCCTCCGCCGTGGCCCCCGCTAACTTAAACACAACTCTCTGATTGATTGCCTGAAATCATGCTGCAATTATTGACCTTCAGTGAAGTCAGTCGTTTCTGCACAAAAAAACCTAAAGTAGTACACAGATGCAGAGTATAATGTTGTCTTACGGCATAGTCCGCCTCGTGCCAACAGGATATAAGCTTGAGTGCTCTGTTTTTCTTTTTGTCAGAGAGTCAGGCTGCTGAAAACCTTTTTCGAGATTTTCTCGTTTTTTTTTTTTTTTTTCAGCAAGGCATCATCATCTGGAAACACTTATTCTGTGATTTACGAAGGCCCCCTATCGGATTTCCCCCAACACAAAAGAGCAGACAGCAGGAGAAACCTAGAAAATTCAAACCATTACAGGACGATTGATCCGTGCAAACTGCAGTCTTCTTTTCAGGAACAAATGTTTGAGTGTGTCTTTGACGTGAGGGAAAAGGCAGCATATAGATTAAAAGTGTTACATATATGTTTCCCATGCAGATGGAAAGATATGTAATGGAGCTTAGAAAACTGTTCATGTGCTTAAACATTTCTGTGCTCCGATTTCGTCCATCCAGTGTCAGCCAGTGCGCTTTTACCTCACATCTTGCGAGCTAACTCCTGCACAGTAACAGTGCCATCCCACCACTGACCCACTTTACTGTAAAAATGCCTTTAAGATACAATGTCTGGCTTCAATTACCCCACCCAGATTTGGCATACAACATCACAGGCCTCTATAAAATTATCATGGCGGTTGTAGATGTGGCTTAATACACGCTGCCTTGTGTTACTTGATATGTTCTCTTTGATGTTGGCAATTGGTTTGGACTGAACTTTTCTCATCTGTGCAAATTCGAAGAGCAGTTTTTTTGGCCCGCTGGTCAGTGTCGGTTAATGTGCGGAGACATTCACGGCAGTGAAGATGGCTCAGAGAACATGCAGTCAAACAGTTGAACTCACAGTGCTCTCTTTTAGGTCGGAGGTGTCGAAACTACAACTCCCGAGCAGCACCAGGGCAGAGCAGCAGCTGAGTGTCACCAGCAGGCCAGCCCAGAGATGTTGCTCAGACTCCCAACATGACCGCTGTTCTCCGACAGGGCGTGCTGTGACCACCCCAGATAAGAGTAAGACATGAAAGTTCAGAATGCTGTGCTGACACCTCTGTACTGCACGATGAGACGAATTAGTAGATAATGAATGATTTTTACTTCAATTTATGTGACGAAATTCAAAAGAGCACTTGCATCTTTCTAGCAAAACCCAGTACACTTAGTATCTGCTTAATACAGCCATTATAAAGTGGGCTAATGAGAGTAAATGTACTGTTATAGATGGGGATTCAATAGACCACCTCTGCAGTGACTGTTGATTAAGGACCGTTTTATAGAATCTTCCTAACTTGCAGATCCTATCTTAACCGTTTGGTAATTAGTTAGGACCTAATTTAGGAAAAAAGCCATTACAGATTAGGCACGGATGATTTTCATATGGATTTATTTTCAGCTGATACGATAATGGATAATTACCTGCTTCTCATGGCTGATACCGATAAGATAACAGATAGTTTAAAGTTAATTCTGGTAAAGTTCATTTCTACATTACATTCACTACAATTATATTTCTAGTAAATAATTTCCCATTATTGACCAATAATTTATCTGCCCTGATAATTGCATTCCTAAAATTGTCAAGATTATCTAGGCCAAAATAATCTCAATTCACGATATTATCACAATAATCATTAAAAACACACTAGATCACACAAGCGTCCTAACTTTGTGTGTTTTTTGCCTGAAAAATCTAATGACTGTTAATGATGATGGTGTGTTGTGGCGTCTAGTGGAGGAGCAGCTGTTTCGTTCGGTAGAGGGTCAGGCAGCCTCCGACGAGGAGGAGGACAAGTGGACAGGAGACCAACAGAGGCAGGTGGACGAGGTGAAGAGGATTCTGACCAGGCTGTCCTGCTGTGGGGAAAGGTACTGCGTCCCTCATATCATGCTAAAATACATCGTAAACAGCTGTATTGTTCAGACGTGACTTGCCCCCCAAAAATTCTGAGCCTATTCAACAGCTATCGTAGATATGACCCACACAGACTCTCTTTCCTCCTGTTGCTGATCAGATGCGACGACAAGGCATTCAAGAAGCTGATGTCTAATTTCGGGAGCTCGAGGAGCGAGGAGAGCTGCAGCGCTGTGGTGGAGCTCCTGGAGAGGGTGACCAGGTTGCATAAGCAGCTGGAGCTGAAGGAGAGCAAGGCGGAGATAGACATGGACCAGGTACAAACCACCACTGACCTCCATCACACCAGGGTGGGCTCGTACAGTTTCCTCTGTCCCGGTCCTGGATCCATTTATACGAAACCATTCTCTCTGGACAATGTTCTGCCTCGATTTACATCATAAGTCATTTTGTGGCTGTGCGTATGGTGTTAAACTAGATTAGAGAGGACTGGTGAAGGTTGTTATGAAAGTGGAGGGCTTCAAAGGCAAAACCGCAGCTAGAGGCCTGATCCTGCAGCTTCCACCTAACCAAACCACCAGCAGAGGCACCAGAGCCTCCCTCTGCATGTGCGTGGGTGTGTTTGCAGCTGTTTCTCACTGGGGCCGACCACAGAAACACTCCCCCCTTGTCCCGCGTGACACTCAGGAATATCATAAATTAAAGCTCTCTTGTTACAGTCGAGTAGTATTTTCACAACACAGGAAGACAGGCAGAGCGGGAACCTTGACGTAATGTGTTCCCAGAACGTCTCAGCACTCAGAGAGGAAAAGTTAAAACCAAACAAAGTCCTGACTGTGAGGCTTTGTTTATGTGCAGGATGTGTGGGGTGAGACCTTTGTCCTTCAATGTGCTATGACGTAAAGGTACACTGCAGGGATTTCCAACATTTTTGGCAGGGAAACATAAGAGACTTGGGCTGAAAACTCACTCTAACCTCAACATTTGACATACATTTACATTGGGGATATTTATATTGTAGAAAGATGTTCAACAGGCCTACCAAGTAAAAATGGGACATTTCAAAGAGTGACATATCCAGCTTCTCTGGTAATAACAAGTTGTTTAATCTGTGTTTGGTCTTCAAGGATAAGGTTGGCAGTATTCTACATTTTTCTTATTTTCAACAAATCCCATAAAAATACCAAAACCCAACAATGAATGTATCTACTAACAAGTATTGTGTGTATCAAAGACTCTTCTGATATGTCCCTTAATTCAATCCCACATACACCCTTCTGCTACCCTAGATACTCACCAGAGCACCAAATGTGGATTAATCTGCTGCTGAAAATAATAAAATTATCTACTGTTAGGGTAACTTTGATTTACTACAGTGCTCAGCTGTTGCAGGAAATTATATTTTAGTCCATACTATATGTTTGAGACCCCTTTTTAAAGATATACATCTTCTTTAACACCAAAGATGTGTAGGGATATCAGGGATTATTGAGAGACTGACTAACACGTTGTCGGTTTTGGTCTTTTCATGAATTTTGTTGAATTTTAATACAATGATATTTAATTGTTTCCTTATATTTTTGCAATGCAGGGTTGCATGGGTCAGGTTGTAGTTCCCTCTATGCTATTCATAAAACAAAAACTATATTTTTAGTTATTAGTAAGAGTGCTGAGCATGTAGTGTGTTCACACTGGAAAAGTGCTGTAATTATAGTATACTCAAAGATGTACATATGCATATTTATATGAATGTGCATACATACAGTGTATAGTATACATATAGTGACGGACAGTGTTCAGGATTATTTGGTTTTCTCTTCAAGCCAAGAGTTTTTGATCCTACACACCTGTCTTTAGACTTAAATTACGACTGTGCTGTTGAACTATTGTCCTACAATGCAATGCTCAAAGGAAATGGAGGAGCTGCCCACAGTTGGAAAAGCTTTTAACAATGCTGAGACAGTTCCAGGAAGAAAAACAAAAACATATAAAAAGAAAAAAAACTATAAAATAATTGAAAACATTTGTCTTCTTTTTGTGAAGCACATTTTAGATTATTTCCTGTTGGCCAAAAACAGTAATGTACATAGATTTAATATATACTAGGTCCAAAAACAGCAAGCTGCTATGAAAATGAGTGTCTAGTACACTGTGAGTAGTATGTAGTTGGGACACAGATGTATTAAGTTAGCATTAGCAGCTGCAGCCAACATGGCTTACACAGAAGTAAATAGTGCAAAAAACGTCATGAACAAAAATCAAACAAGCAAAATGTAAGTGAAAAAACTATCCGCTGTAGAGTTAAAGAGTATCACCATCCTGGACTGCCTCATCAGTTCCAGTGGCTAATGGGTATTCCCAGGCCATTTCCAGCCGTTGTTCTTTAATCAGATTGACTTGAAATCGGGTCAGATAAATCAGGAAGCTTTTGAGTTATCGTTGAACTGTGTTGCGATGGCCAACGTTGTAACTCGAAGGTACATTGTCCAATCTGCCCCAATATTCTCATGCTTGATAAGAGACCTGTTGTGAACATATCTAAATGTCAAAATTCAGTGACTGTCATAGCACCACCTGCTGGCAAAAGGACATAACATGTTTTATACTTTGATGTGCTCCTCCTAGCAGCTTGACCAAATGCATCTCAAATCAGGTCAGAAAAGCCTCAACACATTGATGATGCTATATCTTGAAGCCAGTGAGTTTTCGTTGAACAGCGTGCTTGTTGCGTGGCGTCATGAAACAGGAAGGTGCTGTAACTTGAGTGTACATGATCAAATCTTCCCCAAACTTCACTTGTTTGATAAGAGTCCCAGCCTGAACACGTGTATATGCCAATATTCAGTCAAGCTCTCTGGGTTGTTCACACCATGATGTCATATGAGTTATTTAAAGGGAGGACTTTTCTCGGCCCATGGCATTCCACATAATCTAATTGAAAACGGGTGTTTGATACAGGAGGAAATGTTGTACAGTAAATTAAATTAATTTAAAAGAAGATAGTAGTGTTCTTTGTGTATATTGTGATTGTACGGGTTTGTGTTGTGTCTTCCAGATGAAGGACTCGCTGGTGCAGGAGCTGCAGCAGAAGGCAGAGGAGACAGAGCTGCTTCAGATGGAGCTGCAGATGCTGGAGACGGAGAGGGTGCGCCTGTCGCTGGTGGAGGAGAAACTCGTGGACATCCTGCAGCTCCTGCAGCAGCTCCGAGACCTGGTTAGTCACAGTTACAGTAGCCTGAAGAGGTCACGGCTGCTAATAACCGCTGCTTTGTGCTAACATTCAACATGCTTTTATAATGTCAAGGCCCAAACATGTTGTTTTGATTTTTAGCACAGAGAAGAAATCTTGTAAACAGCAGTCAGACAAAAACTCTTTACTGAAAAAAATCATTTTTGCTGTGTTGGCAGTTGAGAGGGATCCACCCACACTGCACTGGAATGATTTTCAGACATCAGAGAGAAAACTGAAAGTATTCACTAGCATTGTTCAAGGACAAACCTCCATATGGACATTCACTCACTGACACTTTGACCTGTTGAAACAGCAAACAGATGTCTTACCTGTCCACTCTTTTAACTAATTATAGATCTGAGAGCAAATTAATTTCACTGGTTGAACACGTGTGAGAGCCTCTGTGGCTACAAGACTCAGATTGCCCATTAAAGCTCCCGTTAATTGCCCGATAGCTATCTGAGAATCACTCTCTCTTGTTTCAGAATGTCTCGCGGAGGTCTCTGGGGAAAATCCTGCTCAGCACTTTGGAGTCCTGCAGCGACCCACAACACGGTTAGTGGGGCTCACACGCCCAATAAAGTCAGTACAGGTCCTGTGAAATGTGATAATGAAAATTCACAACCACTCAGGGCGGGGAATTGAATTAAACTCTCGCCGGGTCGTCCGTAACACAATTCCCCTCAGCGGTCACATCTGTTCTGGGTTTTTTTTGCACAGGGAAAGCCCACATTCTGGAGGTGCTCAACGCTCTCTACCATGAACTGGCTGCCTGTGAGATTCTGTCAACTGGTGGACCCCTGGAGCGAACGCAGAGTCAGCAGTCCCTCAACGCCCTCATCATCTCCTGCTAATCAGGACTGCCTCCTGCTGGGCCACAGATGCTCCAACAGCCTTTCTAGAGGAAAGCTTAAAAGAACAAGCTGATTTATGTGTATAGTGTATTATATTGTAGCTTATATACTCCTCAGACCCTGTTATATAAAGGGATATTAGTCTGGAATGCTAATTAGTGTAGCAAAGGGCTTTATTAGGTATAAAGGATGTTTGTGTTTATACATGTTTTTTCCAGATCTTTTATTGCACATTACTCTTTCATCATCCTATATGGATTTTATTTTTCCACAACAGAGTTCTGAATGTGAAAATGTTGAAATAAGCTAAACCTTAAAGGGGCATAAAGTAGTCCGTGAAATGTATCGACCTCCAGTGGTCAACAGGTCAAAAACTTCCCCGATAGAATTGATTGACTTTAAAGGAATCTGCTTCATCTAAGTTTGCATTTCAAGATCAGATGTATCATACACAGACAAGTCCAGCCTACGAGAACAGACAGTCGGTGTGTATTGTGGGACTCTCGGGATGCCCCAGCGTTGTTTAAAGGAACAGTGTGAAGATTTTACTGACATCTAGTGGTGTACATTGCAATGCCATCGCCTCCACCCTCCCCTTCCAAGATTATTGGAGAAACCGTGGTAGCCGTGAAATGCACGAAAGGGCCTGTCTAGAGCCAGTGTTTGGTTTGTCCCTACTGTAGAAACATGACGGTTCAACATGGCAGCTTCAGTAGAAGAGGACCCGCTCCCTCTGTAGATAAAAACAGCTAATTTTAAGGTAACGCAAACACGATTCTTAAATGAGGTGATTATACACTAATGATAACATACCTATGAATATTATATTACAATTCTGACAATTGATCCTCCTAAATGTTACACACTGGACCTTTAACGGTGCATTCAGGTGTCATTAACATCAATACTGTTGGTAATATTTGCATTCAGGTACTCATGTGCATCATTATGTACTGGACCAGGAAAAAGCCCTGCAAAATGTCTGACAAAACAATCTCAACTAAAGGTCCACAAATTCACTTATTCCAAAGTTTTTGACCCTATTGCACAGTCTTCAGCAAACATAAGGAGTTTTTTGTAGATGTTCAACCTTCCCCTTTATACTGTTATATGCATTTAAAGGTCCAGTGTGTAACATTTAGGATGATATATTGTCAGAAACAGAATGTAATATTCATAGCTATGTTTTCATTAGTGTATAATCAGCTGAACAAAGGAATTGTTGTGTTTTTTGTGTTACCTAGAATGAGCCTTTTTGGTCTACAGAGGGAGGAAGAATAAAACAATGTAGCTCTTGTTGGCAACCTGAACTTGTTGTTAACAGGTTGTTGATAAATGCCTGTTCCATAGATACAGTGTATTTACCATTAACCTGCTACACTCATTGTCCAGGGACTTGTCTCAGGTTACCGCTGTCATTCACTAGTGAACTTCGTTGTTGGAATACTGTATTAGTTTGGGTCTCTGTAAGCCTCAACCATGCAGGCTCAGCCAAGTATTCAGAACCTCTAAATGGGCTGTATTCATTTGTTAAAATGGGTCAAATAATATGTCATTTTGTCTGTCCCAAGAGGGAGGCACACATTGACTTTGGCTGATCACAGAACAAATGTACAAGTTAGCCTCCTCATGCTTGTTTCTCAATACAATACAACAGATTTACTTTCAATGAAATGCGCATTCTGAAACACACAACATGCTCTTATCAGCTGGTTGTCTTGTCATTACTGTCTTGAAATAAGGGTCTTGGATGCAAAGCCACTCACTGGTGTTGTTGAATCATTTCATTAAAGCCTTTGACATACGCAGTCTGGATCGCTGTGATTTATTCATTTATGTTTGTGAAAAAGTAAATGTCAAACTACCACTGCTGCCAGCTCAATCAGCCTGACCCACATCCATTTGGCAGGCATCAGAAAACAACTCAGCACTGAAATCCTCAGACAGCAAGATGACACTTAAATGTTGAATCACTCTCCTAGAAGTTATTTAAAACTATAATATTTTAACCCACAACCTGAACTATAATTTCTCTAACAAATATATTTATTTTATCCTCCATATTATAATATTTTATTCCTTAAGGTCATACATTCACATTTCTCCACCTTTGATCTTGTAGTATTACCTGTTTATCCTTTTCTGACCACAAGAGGGATGTAAGTTCCTATGTGCTATCCTATCACTCCTCCCACTGGCCTAAACACAGAGCAGCTGGTTCTAGGCTATAAGTACTGCATTCAAAATCCTTCTTAAGGAAAAAACATGATAAGAAAAACGTACTTAATATCAATCAAAAGTTCAAAAGTTTAAGTAGCCAATTTATTATGCAGCAGAATGGCCCTAGTAGTTACATTATTATTATTATTATTATTATTATTATTATTATTATTATTATTATTAGTAGTAGTAGTAGTAGTAGTAGTAGAAGTAGTAGCCTAGTAGTAGTATTACTGAGGCTACTAACTATTTATCTATACCAATAGCCTACATCTATTTTAGTATATGATTTTATATGTAAAATCTTAATATGCAAAGTAACTAGTAGGCTTAACTGTCAAATAAATAGTGAAAAAAGCGAAAATCCTATTTAATAATACTGAATTGAAGTTAGTAACTCAAAACTGTAATTGAGCAGACTACAATGCAGAAGTTTAAGTGTTGTTTTTACTTAGTGATTAGGAGTTGCGTCGCTAGGCAACCACCGAAATCCCGCGAGATGACGCGTTTCATTGAAAAAGAAATGGACATCAGCAGTAAATTTGTCATTTATGCTACAACATGAAAATATAAAAAGACGGAAAGGGAAATGCAAAGTCTGGATGATATGGTGGTGGTTGGAGAAACCACAACGCCAGTGGAGAGGGAACTTTAATCGCTCTCAGGTTCTCGCGGGATTTCCTAGGTTGCCTAGCGACGGGACTCTACTACCATAGCTACCTGTCCCAGTGTGTTTTACTCAGTCGCGTGTGCTCTTTCTAGGCTTTAAACGCTGAATTAATGGTTGTTGTTGGAAGTAGTCTTTATGTGTGGACCATTCAACCATTTTAATAGCTACTGAAAAACGATAAGTTCCACTGAAAATGGCTACCGTCGTCGCACAGTCCCATTTCATCTTCGGTCTGCGGACAGGTGTGAGTAACAATTTGTGTTTCTTCGACGAGCAAACTGTCGTCTTCCCCTCCGGAAACAACTGTGTGTGCTACAACAGCCTCCAAAGATGTCAGAGGTTCATTCCAGGTAGGCTGAGTGACAGACATCTCCTCTTAAACTGTCAAAGTCATTTCTTTTAAGGAGTAAAAGTAACATACCTTGCTAATATTGTTTCCAACAGTGAGTTCTAGGGACATTATATTAATGATTGACTAATCTGCAGATTAAAGCTGCATTAGGCAACTTTATAAAACTTTCACTAGATCCTGACAGTAGTACCTGAGACAGATAATCTGTGAATAAATCCAGCTCCTCTGGCTCCTCTTAGTGCTCCTAATGGTATTTGCAAGAATTCCTTTTATGTTTCTCATGTCAGTTGTTTCCATTGTCTCTACAGGCTCAGAGAAAAGCCAGGGCATGCGTGCTCTGGCCATCAGTGCCAACCGGCGTTACCTGGCGGTGTCTGAGTGTGGTGAGAAGGCCACCATCACAGTGTTCGACCTGCAGCATGAGCAGGGCAGAAAGAGAAAGGTTCTGACTGCAGGAGACATGCTCGTTCAAGAGTTTGTATGCATGGCTTTCTCCCCTGATTCCAAGTACCTAATAGGCCAAACTGGTGGTCCAGAGTGGACGCTCATCTTCTGGCTTTGGGAAAAACAGAAAGTCCTGGCAACAGTGAAGACCAGTAACTCAAATAATCCTGTTGCCCAGGTGAGTCATCCATGCTGTATCACTGCAACCACAGCGCTTGTACTCGCAAGCGTAGCCGGCTCTGAGCATGTTATTCTCTTTTATTGACATCCCATCAGGTCAGCTTCAACCCTTACAACAACATGCAGCTCTGTGTGAGTGGAACTGGTGTGTTCAAGCTCTTCCGCTACTCAGAGGGAGCTCTGAAACAGTGCAGCTTCCCAAAGGTGGAGTCCATCAACTTCCTGTGTCATACCTGGATGACGGCGGAGCGTGTGATCGCTGGGACAGACACGGGCAGGCTGCTGGTGTTTGAGTCTGGAGACCTGCGAAGAGAGATTAACATGGCTTCCAAGGCTGGGCAGGAGCAGTCTGACAGGTCAGAAGTTGGACCACAATACTGTGTCAACCAAGGACATACACAAGGTTGCCTGAGCAACTGTTTGTTGCTGTTGTGGCTGCATAAATATAAGTAGCCTATATTGCTAAAGTTAGAGCAAATCAAATAGCCATACTATCCATACTTTTAGCATTTTCTTACATGTTTGCATCACGTTGTGCAGTATTACATGAACCAATTTTAGGTTAGGTTAGCTATGGTGACATAAGTCCAGAACTGTCATGGGAATAATAACTTAAGGAACACCTGATGACTTTACTTGATACAAAAGTAATAAATACAGATTTACATTATATTTTAGAAAGTATACATCATTTGTGTAAATTTACTCTGTTAAAAAATTCCAGGGCATTTGGTAAAGGGTGCATAATTACTTGTTTAGACCATCAACATATATAAAGATGGATGCCACTTTTCCATTTTCTGTCAGTGTACAAAACTCAATCTAAAATATCTTGGATATGGCCGTTACCATCTAGCCCGGCCGGCCGACACAAGCAGAGATCAGCTCTCAATCAGGACATGAAACCCAGTTTTTAAAGCATCAGATAGCTAATTAAAACCAAGCTTGAACATACATCCATCTTCTAATATGAGCTATATGACCTGTACTGCAGTCAGCCACCAGAGGGCGATCAGGGTGTTTTGACTTCACTTTTGGGGAGCTGTCATGTTGCCCATCTTTTATATGTCGATGGTTTAGACTTCAAAACTAAAGGTTTAGGACGTAGACTTGACTTGAGACTTCATAGCCAAGAGATGTTTTTGCTGAATCTCCATGAATTTCATTCATTTACTTCACAGACAAGTGGAGATGATGAAGATCAGAGACGCTGACATGAATGAAGGTCCCAATGCGCCCCGCATCACAGCCATTCTGTCCTACTCCAAGGGCTTTGCATGCTCTTTAGGGTCTGGCACGGTCTGTCTTTTTGAGAAGAACGAGGAGGACAGTTACAGAAGAGGCAGGGAGATACGGGTAAATGTTAATGCATGTAACAGTGCATACTGCTCTCTGTGTATGTTTTCAAAGTGATCATATGTTTATTCTGTTCTGTCAGATCCCTCCAGACCCATACAGCACTGACCCGACCCCGGCTGAGTGTCAGGAGATTGACACCATGTGCATCAGTCCAGCCGAGGAGACTCTGGCCATCAGCACAGACAGAGGGCAGCTGTACAGCCTCAGCCTGTCGTCTGTGGAGATGAACAAGGTACAAAGTCACCTCTACCAGCACCACCACTGACAGTGTTTAAATATGTTAATGCTAGGATAGGTAACGGTGGAGAAACTAGCAAGAGACAGCTAGATTTTGAAAGCATCCACTGAAAAAATCCCACCCCCTCCCTCCAGGACTCCCTCCAAAGCCACTCCCCCAAAACACAAAGATTCATTTTAAAACACATTTTCAAAGCATTCCATTTATTGATTGTTGTTGGCATGTAAGGAGAATTTCAACAAATATAATGAAAAGTGCTTCTGAAATACAGCACCTACACTGGTGACACAGCCTGCTCATTCATTTCAATGAGACCTACAGCAGAGTGCCTCCCTTTCCCATCAACATTAGGCCTTTCTACAGAGGAGAGAGGAGTCGAGGGAACAGGCATTATTTTATTTATTTTTTTTTAACTCAATCGTCAACGTGGCATAATGTGGCAAGAATGTAGTCTAAGATTTTATTTTAATCATGACCAATGTGCTGCTCTTTCACTATTGTATGTATTGTATTTTCATTGTATTTTATACTTTAAGTGAATATATTGCGCCAAACTCCCTTTAAGAAATATGACATTTTAACAATGCCTTAACATGCCGTGACACATAACTCTAGAAGCACAAGATAAAGTGTGTCATACGTCCACCGTCTGACTGTAATATAATATAATCCATAAAGATAAACCTTTGGATGATTTTGTCGCCTCAACTCAAGACGACAGTGAGAATGGAAGGCGGACCATTTTAATGTGTGTGTTTTGTTGAGTGACGGAGGAGAGAGGCACAAATTAGAGAAGTGATCAAGGCGGTTTTAGTCTTTCCACACATTTTCTTTTTGTTTGACTTTTTACCACTTTCTCTACTGTTTCTTTTTGTAATTACTGTATTGCTTATTCTCTCTTTGCTTCCTCCCTTCATTAATTTCTCTCTTTCTTTTTAACCATGCTAGCCATATGGCTCTGTGGATGGCAATGTCGGGCAGTCGGTCGGTAGGTCGAGCCTGAGTATTGGATGGGATTCCATAAACACTAAACATTGTACCTTGTTAGCATTGTCATGGCATGTACATTGTAGAGGTTAGCATTTAGTTGAAGTGCAGCCTCATAGAACCAGTACTGTGGCTTTGTTTGTCCCTTCTCCTTCCATTGCTTCTTTGGCCCATTCTTTGTCTTCCTCCACTCTCCTCCCTTCTTTCATGTTTTAGACATCAGAGCAACTTACCCTTCAGATTCTCATGTTGACCCTGAGATTTACAGTTTGTGACTCTATCCATCAGGAGGAACACGGACATTTTGAGTTCCTGTCACAGTCCTTCCACTCCAAGTCCATCACTGGTTTGTCTGTCTGCATTCGAAAGCCCCTCGTGGCCACCAGCTCTCTGGACCACTCTGTCCGCATCTGGAACTACGAAACAAAGTAAGAGACAAAATCATACCTGAGCTTTTCGCTGTTTTATATATGTTGAGTGATGCTATTACTATATTTCTCCATGCAGTCTTAAGCATCGCTTTTTGAGTCATATAAATAAAGAAGGCTACTGTATTTTATACTGCATGTTGAAGTTTGGTGAGACATAGTCTTCCCTGAGGGAGGAAAGGAAGGCATGATATTACAGTCCTGACCTGGAATCAGTTAGAGGTTCTGCTTTAAGCGGTGCCCATCAAACACTGCTGCTATTAAAACATGATTTAGGAAAGTGACTTAATGTTCAGTGTTATTTGTGAAAAGAACCCAAATAGCATTAAATCATTAAATGCAGAGTATGGCATGCTAAGGACTACAGTATCTCTTCATTACCTCTTGCTGTGAATTGTTGCCAGAGTGTTGGAGCTGTACAAGGAGTTCCAGGAGGAGGCGTACAGCGTGGCTCTGCACCCCACTGGCCTCTTCATCCTGGTGGGCTTCTCAGACAAACTCAGGCTGATGAACCTGCTTATCGATGATATCCGCACCTTCAAGGAGTTCACTGTGCGTGGCTGCAGAGAGGTGGGTCATATGTGTTGATTGTGTGTTCCCTCAGTGCGTCTCAAGTGCTGATATCACAGCAGCATGATGCACCTCAGCTCTTTTCTAACCATTTTCTCCCCCGTTCTGACTCCACACCTTAGTGTGCCTTTAGCCACGGTGGCCACATGTTTGCAGCTGTCAATGGAAACGTCATCCACATCTACTCCATCACCTCTTTTGAGAACATTCTCAATCTAAAGGGTCATAATGGAAAGGTAAGTCAGACAGGAGAGTGTATCATACTGCATGTATCCCTTTGGTTGGGCAGTGAACAACTGCACAGTGGGAACCAACCAAAAAGCTATAGTACAGTACAAACTTTTTTTGCAGGTGCGCGGCATTGAATGGAGCCTGGATGACAGCCGCTTGGTATCGTGTGGGATGGACGGTGCGGTGTATGAGTGGAACACACAGACCGGAAAGCGGGAATCTGAGAGTGTCCTCAAGTCCTGCAGCTACACAGGTGTCGCTTTCTCTTCAGACTGCAAGACCATCCTGGCTGTGGGAACAGACCTCACTCTGAAGGAGATCCAAGATTGTCAGGTCGGTGACAACACACTACTGTATTGCTTATGAGTTTCTCTTCTGAGTATCTAGAAATTATAATGAGTGGAAGTGCTATTGTTCATGTAGGAGGGGAGCATTTTTCTTCCTCATTATATATAAATTATGTATTCTACGTGTCACTCACTTTGTCACTGAAACATTTTAACAAGTGAATTCATCATTGTTGTCCCAGTGAAGTATTGTGATCATGAATGTGAAGGATTATATTCTTTCCTGGATATCTTGGTCATTGGTTCCTCAGGTCCTGAAGGAAGTTCCTGCTGATGAGGTAGCTCACGTCGCTGTGGCAGTGTCTCACTCTGGTAGGGTTGTCTTCACCGGGACTTCCAGCGGAACCATCCGAGCCATTAAATACCCGTTACCCATGCAGAAGGAATGGATCATGTACCAGGCTCACTGTGGCCCCATCACCAAGGTTGGTCTAAATGTTGATGCACGCACTAAACTGACTATCAGAAATCGTCATGTCTAACTTTCTGTCGTCTTCAGATGGTGGTCACGTTTGACGATCAGTTCCTGCTGACAGTGTCTGAAGACGGCTGCCTTTTGATGTGGAAGATCATCGATAAGGAGGGCCGAGGACTGAAGAGCAACAGGCAGATCATCCACACTGAAGAGATCCTTGTCACCAAGTCAGACCTGGAAGAGAAGGTCTGTCTGTGTGTGTGTGTGTGTGTGTGTGTGTGTGTGTGTGTGTGTGTGTGTCTGCATGTCTGCATAAGGTCTTTTTACTTGCATATGTGTCAACATTCTCCCCAATGTGTCCAAAATATGGACTACACAATCTCCTTTTTCTTTGTATGCAGTTTTTTTTGTCCTCCACTTTGACCCAATCCACCTTCTTTTCTACATATAGACAGACAACCATTGTAGAGGCACTTTGGAGCCACTGGATTAATGTTCAGCTGTTAAGCACAGGGTAGATCTATCATGCTTTGAGGTTGTGTTGCAGCCAGTGGCACAGGAAACATTGCACGGGTAGGGGGAAGAATGGATTCCACTAAATACCAGCAAATTCTGGCAGCAAATGTCTCAGCATCTGTAAAAAAAAATCTGAAAAGAGGATGGCCTCTACAACAGGATAATTATCCTAATCGTACCTCGAAATCCACCACAGACTACCTCAAGAGACGCAAGCTGAAGGCTTTGGAATGGCCCCCACAGTCCCCTGAGTTAAACATCATTGAAAATCTGAAAAATATTGTGTTTCATCTTCCATATCCTTGACATGCTGTGTTTACGTCTTTTCAATAAAAAAAAAACCCAAAATATGTTATCCAACCTGTGAACCTGTCTGTCTGTGTTGCAGAACCAGAACATGCTGGAGCTGAAGATGCGTCTGGAGGAGCTGCAGATGGAGAACGAGTACCAGCTCCGCCTGAAGGACATGAACTACAACGAGAAGATGAAGGACCTTTCTTACAAGTTTACCCAGCAAATAGAATCTCTGACTACAATGCAACAGGTCTGCTGGTTACCTCACAGACTCCAAATATACTCTGTGCCTTTCGAATAGATTGTATTATTATTATTTTCTATTTATAGTATGTACTGTTCCTATAGACCATGAAGACAGAGATGGAAAAGCAGGAACGTGAGCACCAGGAGAGTTTTGCAGAGGTCGCTGCCAAACACGCAAAAGAACTGAAGGATTTAGGTAAGAAGAGGACAGGATCAGTGTCAGCACAATCCGGGGACAGCATATCTTTGTTTCTACAAGGATCAATCAGTCTGTCTATCAATCATACACAGAGTTGTCCTACAGCCAGAAACTGATTGTGGAGCATGAGAGGTACCAGGACCTTCAGCATAAACATCAGAAAATGCAGGAGGACTATGAGAAACAGCTTGAGGCAGCAGAGGAGAGCAGAACCCAGGCCCTGGAGGAGCAGACGCAGCTCTACGAGGCCAAGCTGCAGGAGAAAACTCAACTCCTGGCTCAGGTCAGTCCAGAGGAGCAGATAGTGGAGTGTGAACAGAGTTTCCACGGGGTCTTAAAAAGTCTTAAATCCAATAATCAGAATTTTAGTCCTTTAAATGTCTTAAAGCTGCAGTAGGTAACTTTTATAAAAAATAACTTTTTTTCTGAAACTTTCACTACATCCTGACAGCAGTACACGAGACAGATAATCTGTGAAACAATCAGGTTCCTCTGGCTCCTCTTAGTGCTCCTAATGGCATTTACAAGAATCCACCGGGGCTGGATGAAAACAACCAATCAGAGCAGAGAAATATAGAAAAATGCTTTGGGTTGGAAGCTTGAAGATAGTTGATTCTTGAGTCTCATTCTCCAGGTCCATAAGCGTCTGTATTTGACAACCTGGAAATGAGATTAGCCTTAAATTGCATTCATAGTGGTCTTAAAAAGCCTTAAAAATCCTGCAGAAACCCTGGTTAAGGAGAAGGGACAGCACATGAAACCAGTGAAGTTCTTTTGTCCACTTTGATTTTGTCCAGTGTCAGGAGGACACACAGCAGCAGATAGTGGAGTTTAAAGAGATCATAAAGCAAGTAGAGGAAGATGAGGAGAGGAAGATGCATGACCTCCAAATCAAGTACGAGAAGAAACTGCACACTGAGAAAGAGACCAACACCAATCTGAAAGGAGAAACTGGTATCATGACACAAAAGGTGAGCCTCCTCTTCTGATTGCATTTGTTGAATTTTTCCCTGTCTGCTTCTCACACGTCTCTTCTTCCTCTCTGGTGGCTGACTGTGTGGTCACAGTTCTACAGTCTGCAGAGACAGATCGACGAGAGGTGTGTGGAAATAAACAAGCTGAAGCAGGAGCGGCAGAGGCTGCTGGGGTTGGTCCGCTCCCTGGAGAGCGACATCGAGGACCTGAAGAGGCAGATCTCCGGACACGAAAAGACCAACCAGGACAAGGTGGCTGAGATTCACATTTATCCAATATCTTCTGCTCTAAAAAAGCTTTTGTAAAGTCATGATTTATCGTGAAGCTGGTAAGTTTGAAACATGAGGGATATTTACTTTTTTAACCTCTATATTAATTTAAGTTTGAGAACATGTTTAATAAAAATACATGAATGTACAAATCAGTGTACTGTATATACGGCAAGAAATGATAGATATATGCATTATTGAAGACATGAAAATATGATCATAAGATCCCGATGGTGGGTTGTGGTCCTGGAGATGCTCTCCGAAACAGATATTAAATGATTTCATTTACTTACATGACTGCTGTTGGTTCATTGTGAGAAATATTAGGTCTTCCTTAACCACTTTGAAGAGTGACTAGTTCTCAGTGTGGATATTATGACAATATTAGTCAACTAAAAAAATAATTCTGTTCTTCTACTTCACAAACACAGGATAAGACCATCTCCAGCTTGAAGAAGAAGAACCAGGAACTGGAGAAGTTGAAGTTTGTTCTGGATTTCCAGTTGAACGAGTTGAAGAAACAGACTGAGCCTCAACAAGATGACATCAATGAGAAGAAGGAGCGCATCCATCAGGTCTGTGTGTGTGTGTGTGTGTGTGTGTGTGTGTTTGTGATGATATACTCCATATTCCATTTCAAGAAGTTGTTTTTATCTTGTTTTATGAAGTCAAGTTAAAGATACTGATGTGAAGATGCTGTTTTAAAATGCAGTTCATTCTGTTTTGATCATTTCACTGAAACATGATGAAACATGGTGAAATAGTGAAAGTCCAGTGGTATAAACATGTAAAACCTGCATTAGCAGATTTTGGAGTCATTTTAAGAAAAGTCAGTATGCTGAGATGACAGTTGACTTGTGAAGATAAACAGGGATGTTGACAGCTGTGTCTGTTTGGCAGCTGCAGGAAGAGCTGGTGCAGATTGACAAGAGCAACACTCAGCTGAAGTTCACCGTCTCTGACCTGAGGCTCAAACTGAGGACCAGAGATAAGGAGATGCACAAGGAGATGCAGAAAGTGAGCACACACCTAACACTTGCTCTCCATACTGCAGCTCCATCTTATTATTACAGTACACGTGCTGCACATTCGGCTTTTACAGCTTTAATAACTAAACTCTGTTAGTTAGGTGTTGTAATTTATATGTTTACACTATCACAGGTAAAATAAGTGTTTGCAATTCTTTTACATCACATCTATTATACAAACAACCCATGGTGTTTGAAGGATGGGACATTTTGACACGTCAAAGCAGGAGAAGCACGGGTATAAGTAAGAAGTGTGGGTCTGCACAATAGCCCCCATTTTTGGAGGATAGCGTATGTAGCTACTACTGACTTTCTATGATAGTTACAGTTACTCCAGCTGTCATTATCTGTCAGTCATCAGTCATTTGTTATCTGCCAATTGTTCTTAATCAGAAATGTATGAAGTACACGCAAAATACATATTCTACCAGCATTTTGTGCCCTGACTGTCAGTAAGGATGTTCAGTATAACAACACGGGATCTGATGATTAATGTACATTCACAGAGAGAGCAGAGGGTCAGTATACTTTGCAGCCAACAGATTTTCATTTTGAAATGAGAAAACCAAAATCAGGAAACCACTGCCATTTATAAACGTTGGGAACAAAACACATCATCGTTTCGATCTTTCGTGTGGCCAGGTGAAAGATTTGGAGACGCATCTTCAACGCCTCAAGTCAGACCTCCATAACTGCGTGGGCCTCATCCAGGAGCCAAGGAGACTGAAGGACGCTGTGCAGATGATCTACACACGCTATGTAGCACAATCTGATGGGGTGAGTGGTTTATGTAATGTAGCAGACGCTGAGAGTTCATGGCAGCAACAGTTGAAGACTCATTCTTACTGCCACACCACTCACAAACATACACACTTATTGAGGGTTAGGATTTACATCCACTGTAAAAAATGTAAACCGTGTGTGTGCTGTTCCCAAGGTGGAGAAAAACAGCGTGGACGAAGATATTCAGAGGGCGTTCTGTCACCAGCGTGATCACCTGGAGAAGACGGTTAATAGTCTGAAGACGAGGCTGGCCAAATCTGCTGAGGAGCATGACAAAGTCTACGTCAAGATCATGAAGGTAAGCGCTGCATGCACTGTTCCTCTGAGCGGTCATTAGGGATTCAAGTCGTATATTTCTAAACATTAACTGAAGTAATGCTCATAGCGTTCAGTATTTCCTTTTCCTGATGATATTCGTCTGCTCTGCAGGAGAACGTGACTCTGATTGCTGAAATCAACGATCTGCGGAAGGAGCTGCGCTCAGTGAGGACTCAGGTCAAAGAGTACAAAGGTCAGCTGGCCACACTCAAGAAGTCCAACAAATCACGTCCTAACTCTGAGGAAGGACCCAAAAAGGAGCCCAAACATGAAGACGTCCATTAAGAATTAAAAAAAACAAAACCAAATCAGAGAGCAAATCCACCCCCTGGACCAGGAGCACCGTAGACCAGCAGCGACACATGCCGAGGATCTCTTGCTGTAAGCCACCAACACCAGTTTCCAGAACTGATAGTACAAATAGTTTGTCTTAACACAATTAAAACTCCTTATTTTACCACATAATTACAATGAAGACATTATGGTAGTATATGAAATAGATTTGTAATGCCATCGTTCTTGTCCTTGGACCAATTATTGATTCACCATGAACACCTAATGTGACCTCCACCAGCAGCTTTAAGGACTGAATCCTTTGGAGTCGTATCACTGGACTGACAAATACCTCAAAAACATCAGACTGTACATTGTAACTGCTTCCTCTAGGGGAACTTAATCACATCATTCAATTATAATGACAACATGAAGATTTAAAACTATTACTTATGAATGTACATTGAGTACACTGGAAAGCATGTGTGAGTATTATCACCATTTTGGGATCCATTTAAATGATGCATATCTATTATTTCTGAAATTTTTTTTAATGCATGCTATAGAGCTTTAGATATTTTTCTTAGTATTCTAGGCAACCATTAATTTATGTATAGCATAAAAATATATAGGGATTAGCCGGTAAACCATGATCTGATCAACCAACATTATCTGTACCCAAAGTGGGAGGGGCTTAAACCAGAAGTTGGTGGGACTAACCAGAAGTTGTTCATTTACATTTGGAAATGATATTGGTTGATCAGAACTTGCTATATTTATTAGAAAACTATTTACAGAACAAGGTTTTTTTTATTTGCTATATTTACAAGCACAGAAATGAACACATTTGACTCTGATGGTACTACTCGCTCAACCCTAAACAACTGAAACCTGCTGCATAATCCATGACAGCATATTTCTAATCTATACTAATGTTTATAGACTGCATGTTACATTGTGTGACTACTGCAGTTTAAATTCAGACTGAAGAAGAGCCTAAAATGCATTCACCTTCAAACAATTATGGAAATTAACACAGACCATCATAGTGTTGGATTATAAAACTACAAAATAAGAGTAGTGGACCAATGCATTTATAAAACACTGAACCATGGTTAGTAAAATGGGCTGCTGTGATGGAAAGTTAAACATGCAAAGCCACTGCTATGGGCCTTTACATATATTTTAATTTGGGGATGTAGAAGGAAAAGGAGTAAGAAAAAAAATCTCTTGCAAACACAGCTAGAAACCAACCCTCTTTCTTCCTCAGCTGTTTGAAGAAATTACATTACAGAGCCTTTAAAAAAAAAAAATAAAAGCATTTCTGGTACATTTTACAGATTTGTCTTCAGTAGGAACCAGAGAGAGTGGAGCAGTGAGGCTATGGAGGTTTGTGGAAGTGGGTTCAGTCAAGGCTGATCATAGAACAAATGTGTGATCTCTGGGCCACACTAGTGCAACAATGTGAACATATAGCTACTGAACAGCAGATGTGCTCATTCTGAAAGCAGAGCTACACAATGAGATTAAACAAAAATGGCGACAAGTGATTCAATTTGTTAATATGCAGCTTTTAAATAGTAAAGGTGAAAAAGGCAACACAGTACAACAGTAAAAACACAGAACAGAAGTAACACCACACAGTAATAGAATGTAAAATGACGTGTTTAAAAGTTTGCAGACATCTTGGTGACATCACGTTTCAGGTCCACGACGTGCATCTCGATTCTCGTGTGCAGCTTGTCCATTGAAGTCAACAGGGTGTCGTACAGAGCCTGCACACAGTGACGCGTGTTAGTCTCACACCGTGAATCAAACAGTAACACAGGCGAGCAGCGAGAAGGCGGCCGTACCTGAGCTTTCTCCGTCTCCTTACTGCAGACGTCTCTCAGGCTCTGGATCTCGGCCTTCAGCTGCTGCGTCTCTCTGGAGATCTCTTGGATTTTGTCGGCCATCTCCTCGCGCTTGTGCTGGATTTGGTTACACTGCCTGCAAACCAGTTTTGTTTTTAACCTTTATCAGATTTAGAACTATGTAAATAGTACAGTATATACAAAATATATTATGGCATTAAATACCCCAACACTTCTTGAACGTGCTGCTCCTTCATCTCTCTCTTCTTCTGCCGGCGGATGTTCTGTTTGGACTCTTTGTCCAGCTTCATGCCCAGAGCTCGCTTCATGTGGCCTTCCTCGATGCACAGGTTCTTCAGTTCCTTCTGCTTCTTCTCATACTGCGCCATCAGCTCCTGGTGCTACACACACACACACACAACACACAACACAACGGATTACTTTTAAATGAGATGAAAGTTGTAGTTCCCTTTACCCCCCTCAAAAAAAAAAAAAAAAAAATATTTAAAAAAAAAAAAAAAAAAAAAAAAAAAAAAAAAAAAAAAAAAAAATAAAAAAAAAAAAAAAAAAAAAAAAAAAAACCAAAAAAAAAAATTTAAAAAAAATTTAGGATGAGACTGTTTCACTTGTTAACATTCAGTAGCTTTAAAGGTTCAATAAAGTTTAAACTTGTTAACAGTGACAGTAGCTGTTCAGTGAACTACTGTCAGTGTCCTGTTGCTCACACTCTGTAGGCGTGAGCCAGCATCATATTTAGAATAACGTTACCATCTGCAATGTAATGTTAGCCTATCCACTCTGATATTTGGCTAGCAATAACATTAACGAACAAGCTAATGTTAGCCAGTCAGCAGAATAATGTTTGCTATGTCATTGTCAGGTATTTTGTGTTAAACATAATTCTTATTTGACCTCTCATTATGAACTAAAATTGTTTTTGATTTAAGAGCTCCAACTTTATTGATCCTCAGGGGGAGAACAACAGGAATAAACTACTAATGTTAAAGAGGGTTAATATAGGAAGTCGTTTTTTAGTACCACAAAATGACCACAGTGTATCTGCTAGGGTTGATGGGGGTGCTTATCGTGAGACGGCTCTGGATCCAGAGCAGCTGGGCCCTGTTCATACCTCCTCCTGCCGCTGCTTGGTGGTGTTCATGCTGCTCTCCAGGTCCTGCAGCAGGTTGTAGATCTGCTGCATCTCAGTCTGGTTGTGAGTCACACCCTGCACCATGTTCTGCAGCTCCACCACGCGCTCATCTGTTTCTGCCTGGAATCAGAGCCATCAAAAACCCATCGCACAGCTCAATGACCACAACGCTGACCTCATTTCCTGCTTTCAGAGACGACCCTGTTTGCTTTTCTACTCACGATGGACAGCTTGATGTTCTTCAGGTTCTCCCTCATCTTCTCCATCTGGCTCTTCAGCTCCTCTGGGGACTCCACAATCTGAGATTTGAGTTTGCCAATTTCTTCCTTCACGTTGCTGAAGGACACCTTCACCTGGGCCTGACACACACATCCAAACAGCACACACGTCTGATCAATGAAAGGCCTCCACTCCTTCTGTCTCTTCGATTGATCTTTCTGAGGACGTTTGGGACGACCACACAGACGTACACCAAAGTCACATACCAGTTTCTGAGTCTTCTCTGCAATGGTGGTTTTCCACTCTGCGATGTTGTCATTTCTAGCATTCTGAAAGGAGATGTATGTATTTCACTTCAGAGCACACACACAAAAGCAGGTTGTGATTATTGTGACCGTTCCACCTACCACTTCCTGGTATTCGTGCATGGTAGTGGCCTGCAGCTCAGAGAGAGCAGCCGCCAGCTCGTCGGCCTCCGCCTGCTGCTCTGGTGGGATGGTCCTGAACGACAACAAGAGATATCAATGCGTTAGTAGGTTATTAGGGTAAAGTGCAGCCATCATATGTCATTATGTCATTCAAAACGCACTGTATCAGCTAAAGAGGATTTTGAGTATTAATAAAAGAATTGGTTTGTGATCAGAAGAAAGATCATCACTGAATTATTTTACATTTAGGGCTGCAACTAAAAATGTTTTATCATTATCAATTAGTCTGTCTATTATGTATTCAATTAAGCAGTCAATTGTTTAGTCTATAAACATTGGTGGTTGAAAAAAGGTCCATTAATGTTCCAAGGGCCTGCTTCAAAACACAGAAATATTCTATTTAAAATCCTATAAAACAGCAAAATAGCAGCTTAACCTTAGCTGCATCGAAATCGCAATATGCAAATCATAGAAACAGCATTATAATGAAGTACTGTAGCTCTGGAGAGAAGCCCTGGCTTCCAAATCCTGTTCTCCAAATTTAAGAGAACGTGTGTTTGGTACAGACCCCCAGGTGAAAATAAATATAGTGACGCAAAAATGATCATTCCCACACTAATCATGAATTCAATTGCAACCTAACCATCAGAAATAATCGCAATATGATTTTATTTTTACTATATCGTGCAGCCCTACTAAACATCACATTAAAAGAAGCTGGAAGCAGCAATATACCAAACAACAACAACAAAAATGCACATATTTTACATATTTAATCTGAGACTCACGTCAGGATCTCAATCTTCTTCTCTGCCTCTGAGTTGCCTTTGGTGTAAGCCTGCAGCCGGTCCATGTCTGCCCTCTGACAACACACAGAGCAACTGTTACCTCACTCAAACTTGCAGCCAACAGCGGAGGGTTATAAAAGGCATGTCAAGTTTCAGAAAGATGTTGAGTGCTGTAATGAGAGCCAATAGCATCTCGTTTGCATGGCGGTTATAAAACAATATGTATAGGGGCAAGAAATATTTACTTCAGGCCAATGAAATAAAACATTAACCCTGAATATAACATACAAATTTGGCCTGCTTCTCCAAGATCACGTCCATCCTCTGCTTCCTGAAGTGAAGAAAGTTCATGATGGCACTTAGAATAGTCAGAGTCTTCTGTTTTTCTGGAAAGGAAGAACAACACCAGTGTCCGGGGTGATTGGACATCTACACCATCAGATATGCAAATATGTGATATAGATTTTAAAACATTTAACAGATAAAAAACGTATTCTTACTTGGAGCTAAAAGGTCGTTCAGTGAAAAATCATACACGAAGCACATAGGCAGAAACTGCCGCCTGAGGAAGATCACACACACTGTTCAAAATACAAGCACTGTGGATGGACTGAGTCCCAATTCCACAGCTGTAGCCTACGTAGCCCTGCAGACTATGTACATATGTCTATACAGATATATCCATGAACTTGTTAGCAGCGATCATCATATGTTTCATTCTGTGCAGATTGTACGTACTGTGTTACATCCGGGAGAGAAAGCAAGAAAACTCACAGGCGCATGTAGACGCTAATGATAGCAGTAGCTCCCTCATGATACACTGGATACTGAATGTTCTCCAAAAGTGGAAGCTGTGGGGAAACAAAAAGGAAAATCAAGTGACTTAAATCGAAGAAGGATACAAATAGCTGTATGCTAATGACTAACAATACCATCACATCATTCCCTACATGAACATTAGGTGGTGAAAGTGCACTATGAGGCCAAACAAAAAGGAATTAACAAATGAAAAGTTCCCTCATGAATGCAGGCTTGGATGCAGACGGGTTAATGTTACCTGTTAAACACAGTACTCACCATGGAGTGACACTCGGGTCTGAAACGATACAGGAGATGCAACACTCTCATGTATAACGTCTGAACTGTCTCTGGCTGTAAGAGAGAAGAATTGAGTGCTACGTTACAGATTATATGAGCTTTAGAACATTAATATATGTAAAGTGGAGTCCTAAGCAGAGAATGCCGTCCCACGCTGTGTTGCTATCACAGCCTCTCTGTGGTTTGTTTACATAGCCGGTCTGGCCGTGTGCAGCTGTGGAGCGAAACAGCTGTTTTTATCATCTACATCTGGAAGTTTATTTCTAACTCTGATGATGGTTGGAAAGACTTAGAAAGACGTTCTTGTGTCAGTGCAGTTTGAAGTGTCTTTTTACGATTATCTGCTAGTGCTAGCTAAAATCACTGGTTTTATCTCTGGAGTCCGGTTGGTCAAAGGGCCCATTGTTTTGGTCTGAGATGCTGGAGCTCTAGTTTCGACACCTAGTGGCACGTGAATTTCCTGACTGACCGCAGGGGACTGATGGCTGATGCAGGCCTTTGTCTCGTCTGGTCCAGTTTTGCCTCATTCAAGTCTACTGGACTGAAGGTTCCCACACAAATGCCAAGGTGTGTTTAGTTGATACTCATTTAAAGGATATTAAGTTCAGATTTGTCCTTATATGTGCAGGTACACTCAAAGAGTTTGGTTGTAACCATTCTCCTGTTTGTTCTGCAGCAGTCTGAGTTTAGGACTGCAGCTAACAACTACTTTCATTATTGATTCATCTGGTGATTGCTTTCTTGTTTACTTGTTTTAGTCATTTTTTAAGCAAAAATACTAAACAGCTGGTTAAAGTGTCTCATAAGTGAGGGTTTGCTGCTTTTCTTTGACACGACTGATTTAACACTATTATCAGCATTCTGGTGTTTTGGACTGTTGGTTAAATAAAACAAGCAACTTCAACACTTCATCTTGGGCTTTGGGAAATGATAGCTTTCAATATTTCCTGACATTTAACAGACAGAACTATAAAAAAAAAAAGAAAATAATCAGCAGATGATTTGATAATAAACATATTTTAGTCACTTCATATATGACAAGAAGAGCAGTAAACCCTTACAGGGTGGGAACGTATGGCTGCAATGTCGTGACGCTCTGACTGATTTTATTTATTTTGAATCCAAAGTGAGATTTTGAACCCTAAATCCTTTCGTGTTAATGATTTAGTATCTGAAACGGTTGTCAAAACTGAGCCAAAGTATTGGTACAAACAATGTAACGGCTATTGGCTGGTAAAAGGGGTCTTCCAGCGTTAAGAGTAAAGGTAAACGCAGTTAGAGTGGACTGGCTCCGCCGTCGTCTCCCCACATCGTAATGTATCATAATGAAACAACTGCTCCTCACTTCCGTCTGCATTAACATTAGTTAGAATTTAGCTAACAAGTCTACTGTGTACGTTTGCTACTTCCAGACGCTGAAACGCCCTCACTGTGTGGTTCCCGTCAGACACCGGGGCCGCTGGAGCCGCTGGAGCCGCCGGACGGTCGTTACCTTGGGAGCAGGAGTCAGGTCGCTCTTGGTGAAGTGTTTCGCCTCTTGCCCGGTGAGAACTTCTGTTCGGTAAAAGTTCACTATTGCGTCCGCAGTGTACACAGGGAAGGTGTTTTCAGACATTTTAGAGCCGATTAAAAACGGGCAAAACACAGAGAACCGTTTTCAGCCTCAACCATGGGTGTACACACCAACGACCACACAAAATTGGCGCCTTAAAACGACTTCCTTGTTGATTTTCTAAACGGCGCATGTGATTGGTCAGTGTATCCTTCTTCTGTGGTTCAGAGAGATGATACATTACTCAGCCGCGCCCTCTGCCGCAGTAACTGTGTAAAGGCCATGGCTCTGGGTTGATATAAAACACAATGTCTGGATACACAACGACTACAACAGCGTGAACAACAAACAACACACAGTTCAGAACATTAAACAGCAGCTATTTTACAAGAGAGACACAATCTTTGAGATCATTTATTCTGTCTTCATTTAGTAAATATCTCATATATGACATAACCATACCGTTCTCCAGTCAATATTGGAAGACAAAAAAACAACGCGTGCGCAGATTGCTCTGTTGTTCTTTCTGTGGACTGTAGAGAAACATGTTTTACCTGTCTGTGAAACTATTTGTTCCAGTAAGGGAGATTGTGTTAAATGAACCATAACTAAATTCCCACAATATTATGAATGTATTTGCAATGTTTTAGTTGCTCTTCCAGTTATATGTAATACCTGCTGGGGTTGGGTCCTCTTACGGGTCATAAGGTCCAGAGTCCAGCTGAGTCAAATTTGGAAGTAAAGTTTAATAAAGGAATGAGTTATTGGATAAAAGCGATATCCCAGCTCCACACTCCGAAGCAGCAGGGGGCGCTGACGCGACACTGCCACGATCACATGTGCACGTGACAAAACACGGACGTCAGTAGCGTGGCCCTGGGTGGTGACTGTGTGGTGACTGTCTGCGAGGAGAAAGTGTTGTGCACTAAAGGTTTACTGTGTGGAATGACTGTGGGCTGAGTTACTGGGAGGTAATGGCGGTGAACTGGGCCGACAGGGTCTCTGCTTTCTCCCGCAGTCCGTCTCGCTTCCTCTCCGGGACCACCGCTGAGGCTTTCCTCGCAGAGCTGCTCCGTGAGCTCCGAGATGACAGAGCCAGCTACAGCGTCAAGGTAGAACACAACAACAACAACAACAACAACAAAACATAGTAACATGTACAGTCACTGAATCTCCAGCCCTCACTACCGTGCTCTGTAGATCTGCTGCACTGCTCGCCGACCTATAAATACACATCCGGGTCCTGATACTGTGTAAATTATTGGTTGTTCAAATATCTTTAAAGTTCTATTTAGTCTAAACGGTGAAGGTTTTATTTCTTGGAGATCGAGAAGTATAGTAAGGATTGTTAAAAGCCTTGTTTACCTTACATGTCCCATTCACTGAATGGCTTCACTAACGTACAGCTGCCAGCACTAAATTGCCATATTTTTAAATGGAGTCTGGTATATTGCACTCTCAGCACAATCACCAACAAACTACTGGGCTTAAATCTAACATATGGTCAAAAAGCCAGGAAGGTCTGCTAATAGCAGCTGACACGATCCATTCATTACTCAGTAGACATTTAGCAGAAATGTCCAAAGTATAAATATTAGATGGGTTTTATAAGTTGTTTAAGCTCTATGTGTGGTTGGAAGACTAGAAAGGCTATATAAGTGCAAGACAGTTTATTTATTATATATATATATATATACACATATATATGTTCGTAAACTGAAACTGACAGCAATGTAGCCCCATTTTCAAAAATAATAATCATAAATTGAGTAATTGATTGTAGTAACACACATTATAATAATTCAACAAAGAGACAGTATTTATTACTATTTTATTTGTATTTGTGTGTGTGTGTGTGTGTGTGTGTGTGTGTGTGTGTAATTACCTATCCTTGGAGTTTTCCATTTCCAGTTGTGTTCATTGTAACTAGTGTTTGTGGTCTGTAGCGTTGTGAACACCGATTGGTCCTTATTGTTTACATTTCGCCCGCCTCAGGTCCTCCTGCTGTCCCCGCTATGTGAGCACCCTACTGTGCTGTGTCCCTCCCGCTCTGTGGGTGAGGAGACAGCCCTGGAGCTCATGTCGGTGTTCGCCCAGTGTCCTCCCAAGTCCGCACAGTTCCGCTGTCACATCCTCCTGGCCCTCACCTCTGTGCTCGTCTGCACTTCCTGCGTGAGCGGACGTTCCCGTGCATCTCAAGACTTCCTGGACCTACTCCTTCAGATAGCCCAGGACAACAGTGACCTCCATGGCGATGGTGCTCTTCGCTCTGTACGGGCCACGGCTTGCGACTGCCTGCGGGAGCTCGAGGCCTGCTCTCCGGGCCTTCTCTCCCAGCGCCTGGAGCTCTTAAGTGGGCTCCGGCAGCGAGAAGCTTCCCGGCTCCACCAGGCCTACGCAGGACTCCACTCCCTGGTGTTAAGAAACGCTGTGTATCAGCTCACCCAGGAAACTGGAGCGGGCGCCGAGCATCTGAAGGCTCTTCTGGGAGGAAATACATCAGTTTCATGGGAAGCAGACTCCGGCCAGACGAATAACAAAGACTCAGCCATACTGTCCTCTCTCATCCTGGGGCCCATGGGTACAGTGCCGACCCTGCAGACGGGGCCTGACTGTAAGGAGTTGCGTACAGTCCTGTCCTCCCTCCTGGAGGAGTCCTACCTGCTCACTCCTCTGTGTCAGGCTGCACTGCTACATAGACTGACAGAGGTGGTTGCCATGGTGCCCGGCGTCCCTCCGGCCGTATTCCGAGCTCAGCTGCTGCGACTGCTGGGCACGAGCGAGGTTTGTGTCGGATCAACAAAGTGAAAAGAGCGTCCCCGGTTTCTTTAACGTGTTTTAGAACAGTTAGTGAATTAAACAAACAAAGTTTTCCAACTTTTCTATTGTAGTACTTTGAACCTCAACTCTCTTTTACTGTACCTACATGTGCTACGTCTGTGTTTGCTGTAAAGACGCAACACTTCTATATTATAGCTGTAGTCACATCTCAAGTTAATGTTAATGTTAGCAAAAAGCTAGCTAATTGGCTAATCTACATCAATCTTTGGCTAGTTAATTAGCTTGTGTTTTGCTAACATTCGCTGTCAGATATAACTAGCTAGCTAAAGATTAATGTAGATTAGCTAGCTAGTTAGTTGGTGTTTTGCTAACATTAGCTACCCTGAAGGTGCAGTGTGTGACATTGAGGAGGATCTGTTGTCAGAAATGGAATATAATATCTATAGGTGTGTTTTAAGTACACAATGGTTGTGTTATCGTTAGCTTAGAATCAGCCATTTTGAACGCCATGTTTCTACAGTAGCCCAGAACAGACATTAAACAGTATGTCCCCGGTGGTTGCAGTGGGGAGGGTGAAACGTGTGACAAAAAGCAAAATGAGGCGGGACTCAGGAAGGGTCGATTCCTAACTTGGTTGCCCCTAACTTTTAATTTTGTGTTTACAAACTGTGACAGACAAACCCTCCTCATTCTGCCAATAACACATTTTTAATAATCCAATAGAAAGTGTTCCCACAGCCGCTGTAAGTCAACCTCTGCAGTGTGGAGATGTTGAGGATTCGTGACTCACGGTAAATCTTTGTCCACCTCCCTCCAGGTCTGCCTCCTTCACGCCACTCTGCTGATGAAGTGTGCGTTCACAGACAGCCTGTTTAGCGTGGAAGACGAAGCCTTTATTCTGAAGCGGCTGGTCGTGCTCTCCCAGCACCCGCTGCTGACTACACCGGAGAAGCTTTTCTACATGGACTGCATCCTGCACTTTCCTGAGAACCGGCCGATCAGCTGCGGCGACGGCGACGAGACGCTCCCCGTGCTGCTGACCGCGCGGCTAGCCTCGGCCCTGGTGCCCACTGTGTTCAACGACAGCGCCACCATGCTGGCCCGCCTCAACCTTCTCTCTCTGGTCTACCTGGAGGAGGGAGAGGAAGGGGAGGAGGGCAGGGGGCTGGCGTACCTCTACGAACACCTCACCTCGCTGCTCCACATTGTGGAAAACGGAGGCAGCAGGGAGATTGTCGTTACCTTCTTCAGAGCCGCCTTCCTCTTCCTCCTGTACTTCTGCCACGTGGAGCGCTTCTCTAACAACCTGACGGAGAAGCTGTGTAAGCTCTACCTCCGCCACACCTACCTGGCCCCGCACCTCATCAACCTGGCCGACCAGACCCAGGACAAGCTCACCGAGTCCAACTGGGCCGTGGGGCTCCTGAAGGCCCTTCAAGGGGTCATCACAGAGGCCCCACTCGCCCAGCTCACCTTACAAGACCTCAGCTGGCACCTAAAGATGCTGGCTCGAGTGGCGGAGGAAGGAGACATCCCGCAGCGCAGCACCCTCAGCTTCCTGTCCAGCGTCATCACCCCGTCGTCCTCCTCTCTGTGCGTGAGCGGCAACTGGCGTCTGGGCAACAGCCTGCTGGGGGTTTGCCGCCGCCTCCTCGTCCACCCCAGCCTTGACTCGCTACTCATCCCTCTGGCTGACGTCCTGCAGCATCTCACCTGCCGCTACGGAGACACGGACATCCAGGACCATGCCAGACTCTACTACACCCTTCTGACCACGCTGTCCCGGGAGAAGCTGGCCGGAGTGTTGGCGCAGGGTTTGACTGAGGGAGGGCGGCAGGTCAAGAAGCGAACGCTGTCGTGCATCATGGCTGAGGGAGAGGGGCTCACGAGCTTGTTAACCATTCAGCAAACAGAGAAAGCGATATTCAGGCTGACCGAGGCCCATCCTGAGCCACGAGAAGAAACACAGTCTGATAAACAAAGAGACCTGAACCAGACCGAGACGGAGAGCGGCCCAGGAGAGGCGAAGGCGGCACTGGAAGCCTACAGAGCTCAGTTCGACGACCCTAGCTTTGCCTCAGAAATCACCTTAAACTACCAGCTGGCTCACATTGAACCCGTCAACCCCCACTTCGATCAGCTCTTCAGCATCCGCCTCCACTTCAACCTCACAGACGACCACTACGAAGAACTAAGCGACATCAGCGTCCCGTGTCTGTTCAGAGAGAGGTCACCGCCCAAAGTGAGGCTGAGACTGAAGCCCAGGCGGCCCTACCCCACCACCCTCCACGCCAGCGCCATCTTCACCACCCAGGACGGGCTCTCCTGGCTCACCGTCCTGCCGGACATCCATGTGGCTTTCCAGCAGGCCTTCATGTCCCCGCCTGCTCCCCCGGCCTGGGGACGAGGCGGCAGACTGAGCTTGTTCGAGGGTTTGTGGGATGAAATCAGCTCTGAGGGCGGAGAGACAGACCCGGCAGACAGTGCCACCAGCCTGTTCTGCTGCCAGCTGAAAGAGGCGGCTCTGATCGCCTTGATGGAGAAACACTTCCTCCCTTACCTTATATCAGATTTGTCTGATGAAGAGGAGTTCAAAGTGCTGTTCTTCCTCCCGCCGCAGTCTCACGTGCTGCTGAAGATCAGGTCAGAGGAGGACGCCGTGCACTTCAACATCGCCACAGATAACTGGCAGCTTCTGCCCCACATCAGTTCTTATCTACTGACAATCACGTCCTCACAGGAAGACACTCACAGCTGACTGTGATGCAACTTATCGCCTTGTTTTTAATTTGAAAGAAATTTTTAACAAAATTACTGAATTATGAACACTTTAATAACTCTAATTGTACTTAAAATGATTTGCTTCATTTAAAATAAAGATATTGCACTTTAATTTTTCTTCATCTGAAATTAAACAAATGTGTAAAATTAAATATTCTGTCATTTATTTAAGAAAATACAGTGGACAATGGACATCAAATTTATTGGTTACAGTCAATAAATGGAAGACAAAACACATTTACTTGATCCACTGATAGATGGCTCAACATGGTTCAAATATATTTTTGAAAGCACTGTAGAAAATGCTTTTATCATGTTTGTTGAGCCTCTAAGATACACACAATGCCTTTGGTGAGAAACACTGAATAAAAACAGAACCTTTGTTTGTTTACAAGAAAACGGGCAACAAGGCAGCTTTAAAATCCATGATGAATGTTGATAATATTTAACCCAATGTAGCTAAGAGGTTTGATAAAGGCTAATAAGCAGACAAACTTTATTTAGTAAAAGTGTCCATGCACAGGCCCTCCAGAGTAGCCCGATATGATTCAGTCTTAGAGAAGCATCCCTACGGTTAAGACATACAGTAACAGCAACTGATGTGTATACAAACAAAAACGTATTGTTGACACCAACTTAATGCAGTAATGCAACCGTGTATGAGTGTCATCAAGACACTGTGTGGCGGATACTTTTATATCAGCAACCCCAATCCACGTATAGAGTTTTCCCAATTAAGACCATAGTTTAACCTCCACCGGGTGTCCTTAAGTTCCAGTCCTTTAATCCAGTCCAGTTCAGCAGTCCTCTAATCAGAGAGGCCCTTAAAGTTGGGTCCTGTGTAAGATGGTAAGGCAGTCTGTTGGCAGAGCAGTTTGTCCATGATGGCGAACTCTGAGTCTTTCTTCTCCACCTCATCTATGGGGGTCCAGGACATGTCATGTTGAAGTTTGAATGCACCAACAAACGAGTGAGGGCAACTTGGACCCCATTCCTTCAGAGAGGACAGAGTAGGTTAGATCTCAGAGTCAAGAGACAGAACGTTTTTCATTCTATAAATCAGCTTAATATCAGTTTACAATTCAACTACTCCCTTCTTACATTTATAATTAAAGGGTTTTATTCAAGAGCTGAAATGATTTGTTGATTATTAGTTTTGTCTGGAAAATTCATCGTTTAAAGGACCAGTGTGTAGGATTTAGTGGCGTAGTTGCAGTTCGATTCTTCCTCCCCAACTACGAAGAAGAGACTACGCTGGCCATGAAATGCACAACACATACGCCCCTATCTAGAGCCAGTGTTTGTTTGTCCCTTCTGGGCTACTGTACAAACATGATAGACTCCATGGCGACCTGTGGCGTCTGTAGATAAAAACAGCTCATTGTAAGGTAACGAAAACACAACAAGTCTTCCATTCAGATGATTAGACACGAATGAAAACATACTTATAAATATTATATTCCATTTCTGACAATAGATTATCCTAAATGTTACACACTGGACCTTTAAGAAATGAATTATATTTGTAGCAAAAATGCCAGAAAGTAACTGATTTAAGGATTTTCATTCTCTTGCAGTAAAATGAAAAACAGTTTGTTCAAAGAAAATAGCCAATTTGATGATTTCACCTTGGCCTTTAAGAAATTGTGATAGTCAATCATTTTCAGGACTAACCAAGAACATAATTAGCAGAATGATCTATGACAACGATGATGAAATTATGTTTTTTTTAATTTTTGTATTAATAGTGATGAAAATAATCAGTAGTTGCAGCCATATGTTTCTCTATGTTTCCAGCTTATAAAGGGTTAAACAGAGTCAGCCTATTGGGTTTAGCTCTGGAGAAACACCTCTAAGAGCCCCCTTACAGCAGGAAATCCCTGAAACTACTCTCTGATACATTACAGTATGACAAATGCATTCCCTAACAATCTTTCCCTGTCTTGATTACACACAACTGTCAAATATTTCATGACCACTACAAATCTTGTCTGAACCTGCGAAACACTCGTACGTCGCCACAACAGCAACCAGTCTAATCCAACCCGAACTGCCTGTGCGCTCACTATCAGCTCCCTCCTGGGTTACGTGAACTTTGAACACCCAACACCTTCTGCTCAGCCTTACACACAAATAGCTGCAGGTGGTCGGTTAGGCATTCACGTGTTAGCATCTCTGTGGGACTGCTGGCATTTTGTAACACTGTGTGTCCACACAGGGGGACATTAAAGGGATAGTTTGGGTGTTTTTGAAGTTGGGTTATATAAAAAGGTACTGAGGAAAATTAACGGGCATTGACCATCTATACACTGACTACAGGAATGTACCTGGCTGCTATGACGACCCATTTTCCCTTCAGGGATTAATAGTCTGTTATCTATCTATCTATCTATCTATCTGTATACCTAACACAACCCCACCTCAAAAAACCAAAGTACCCTTTTAGAGGCAGCTGAACAATCTGTATCTATCATATAATACCAACCTTAGGTGAGATGATGGAGAAGTATTTTTGCCCAGATTGCCTCTGGTAGAGGTAATACATGTTTCCTGGTTTCTTCACAATGTTACAGGCGGCATGGTGGAGGTCAGCATCTCTTTTAGCCTCTTCTAAAACCTACACAGGGAGAAGAACACATACAGTATGTGTACTGGACTATTTTACATACTCAGATATTACCATGATTTCTTTCTTGTTGCTACTGTCCCATTTTCAAATGTGCTGTTATATAGCAATGTCAGGATGCCAAAACTAGTCCAATCTGATTTAAACGTGTACAGTGTATGCATCCTGGCAGCATCAGCTAAAAAGTAGCTGCAGTAGTATTCTGAAGACAAGAGTAAGCGCAGCGTTAATGTTGGGGTCCCTTCCACTTCTAGAACGACTGATGCTCTTACCTTTCTTGCCTGTTCCTGTAGGTATCTGATCTGGTCAGCAATGACAGTCAGTTTGTTGCAAGCGTTGGCCTTAATGAAGTCATCTCCCTAAAATAAAGTAAAAACCTGTTATATGTATATATAATAGTTATATCCGCCCACATCAAGAGGTGTTGCTGTGTAGAACTTTATTCTTTCTCAGTCAAAGTCCACACCTTCTGTACTTGTCCTGCCAGCGCCACCAGGTCCATGGGGTCTCCCACTCTGGTGGTCTGGTAGGAACTGACCAGTTCCAGCCCGCTGGGGGCGCTGCTGCTCTCAACCAGAGTCACTGAAGGCACACACACACACACACACACACACACACACACACACACACACACACAGTTACATCATAATTATATCAGGTATGTAACTGAACATGCTGCTGCTAATGCTAATGCTAACACAGCCACTGTCACTCTCTATGAACACATAACGACTCAGACAGTAATAATACACTTATTAACTCCAAACTCTCCACACACTGAACACTACGCTTTACAGTCCTCCAGCAGCTATGTGGAACACGACACAATCATTCATTCAATCCACATACAGTGAAGCATTAGTCGGGTAAATGTGGTTTAATCACAGCAGCTGGAACAGAAGTTGTCACTGTGCTAACAGTTAGCTAACACACATCCATGATAACACTCACAGGCTGCTTTGGAAGTTCAACAGCGAGAGTGCTGAGGATTGTGGGAGGTTTCAGGTGTCTGTTACCTGTGGTTCTTTTGTCGGGCTGGTTGGGAAGGCTGACCGTCCTGTCCATGTTGTCTTCTGGCTTTCTTTTCTCTACAGACCCCTCTCTCCACTGACTTTCTCCAGGGTAGTCTCTCTCCGGCGGCCGCTTTTGTAACCAGGGCTGCGTTTCATTACTGACGTTAGTCCACTTCCCCTCAGCCCTGGGTCTGACGTAACAGCATCCGTCGCACGGAGGCCACTTGGAGCGCGGAGGGAAAGTGGGCGGGGCGGGGGAGGAGGGCGCGTTGAACGTAATGAAACGCAGCCCAGATCATATTTGACCAATAACTACCGGAGGCTTCACGAGGTCCTACATCTCCGCCCCATTTTGCCAACGTGGCTGTCCTAATATGTGCCTGTATAAAATACTTCCAAATTTAAAAAAATGCTTTCATGGAGCGTAGGTATTATTCCATATTTGTATTTTAAACGTGCAACTTGCATCCCCATCGATATTAACACTTACGTTGCATATTTTGTATTTTATTGTGAATTCTTTTTTTCCAGGCAGTTCAGAAGGACCCAGAGCATTTAAACAAGAGGAGATGTGCCACTGTTGAGAAACCAAAGAGTCAGAAGTCGGGATATCACCGCGTAAAGCAGCCGCTGTGCTTTGCTTTCCACATAGACCGCTTCACACCCTGCACAAAACCCACCGCGCATATACGAGACCGAAGAACTACATTTACAGTAGTCCTGCTCTTGGCTTATGTGCCATTTCCGCACATGATTTCCCCCATGATCCATTGCGTGCGCACTTACACAAGTTTGGTTTCTGACACACGTGTAGAGGTTTTTCTGTATATTCTATATATAGTGCATGGTCTCATTTGTGGTTGACAAAAGTGAGGGTGTTCAGTATAGTCCTGTGTTCTTTGTAGAAATCGCTACCTCATGAGAAAACAGCCTACATCCACTGGCAGTATCAACATCTGCTCTTTCCCCTGTTATGTGATCATGATCTGTTATAAATAAAATAAAAATTCTCAAAAAGATACTTCCATTTTTCGAAAAACTTCTATTTATTACAATGTATACCATGAAAACAAACTTCACTTGTAAGATAAATGCTTTGTCATTATGACAATATGTTTTCATGCTGTTTTAAATGAGAGAAAGATCCAGTCAGTCTCAGGCAAAGGCAGATCAATATTTCCTATGTGATCTAGTGAAGTGTGCTTGATATAAAGCAGTGAAATTCTGTGGTGTGAAAATCATTTGACTTTGTTTTTAATTTGTGCGTGAGAAATATGACAGTAACAGATAGTTTATATGCACCATTATATGTGTTCATTTCCATTTTTACCTCATTATTTTTTTTATTAATCTAAATGAATGTGTTAAATTTGACAGCATCAAAATCAAGCTGGGGTGGCCAGGCATTTTTCAGGAGGGGCAGCTGCCACCCCATGTCAGCCATCTAGGTCCGCCCCTTGAACATCATAACATAGTACATAGGAGGAACAAGCCCCTGCCCTCTCCTGTCAGCATCGGTGGGACCAATGTGGATATGGTGTCGGCGTATAAGTACCTGGGTGTCACACTGGACAACAAACTGGACTGGTCCACAAACTCAGAGGCCATCTACAAGAAGGGCCTGAGCCAGCTTTACTTCCTGAGGAGGCTCAGGTCATTCAATGTTCTATCAGTCTGTTGTGGCGAGCGCCATCTTCTTTGCTGCGGTGTCCTGGGTATCAAGGCAAAGGACGCCAACAGACTGAACAAACTCATTAAAAAGGCCGAGTCTGTTGTTGGCTCTAAGCTTGTCACCCTGGGGGAGGTGGTGGAGGAGAGGATGCTGGGAAAACTGCTGGCAATCATGGACAATCCCTCCCACCCCCTCCACACAACACTGGACAAGCTAAAGAGCAGCTTCAGCAACAGACTCATTCAACTCCGCTGCTCTAAGGAACGATACAGAAAATCATTCCTCCCCTCTGTTATAAGACTTTATAACTCATCTGCCTCTGTCAGAGCCACAATTACAGAACTGGACTAAATCTACCTGTGGAACATATACTTCATATACTATCATATGTGATATGTGTTATTGTTATTATTGTGTGATATTAACCATGTTGATATTATATATCATATTTATAAAATATATTATGATTATATTAATAATATTATATTATATTACTATTATTATTATTATTATTATTATTATTATTATAATATATCATGTATTACATTATTATTATTATTATTATTATTATTCTATAACAATATATAGGATATTATCTATTGTATGTATATCTTCTTGTATAGTCAAGTATCTATTATACATATATAGATATATACACAAGATATGATATGATATAAAGCATGTGTGTACATATTATATATATTGTGTATATATATTACAGTATGTATGTATGCACACCTTGCACAGGCTGAATATATGACACATGTTTACATCATATCAATATCAATGTATAATATCTATGTGTATACATATATATCTGTTCAGTCATCATATTATATAAACATATTATTATAAATATTTGTAATATTATCATTATATACTGTTATTATTATATACTGTTATTAACAATAACACTACCATCATGTCATCAGTACTATTACCACCATCTTGCAACTACAACTCTTTGCACCTTACCTTTTTTTATCTTTTCTATCTAAGTATTTTATTCTAAGTATTTTATTGTATTTTAATGTACCTGCTATGACGACCCAATTTCCCTCTGGGGATTAATAAAGTCTATCTATCTATCTATCTATCTATCTATCTATCTATCTATCTATCTATCTATCTATCTATCTATCTAACATGGGAAGATCTAGTCTGAAATGGGCTCTGACATTTTCTCTGGCTGTTTTGCAGATTCTGCACTTCTGAGCACAAGACGTAAGACAACTCTTCATTTCCAGGTGAAATCCAACGTTTGTTTGTTTGTTCTGCTCTCATTTTGAATATAATCTCCAGTGTGAGGATAATAAACATCTACATGTGAAAGCACGTCACAAAACAATGAAGAAGCCCCACATGTTGCTCAAAAGCTGTAACACAGTTTCTTTTATGTTTTAAAGTGGTTCAATCAAGGGGGCAGACCGCTGCACCCACAGTGCAAAAGGAACACTGCCACAGGTCCTTCATTCCAACAGCTGTCAGACTCTTCAACACAGCAGTGACATAACGTAGCACTGTTCTGTTTCACTGTAACATCAACTAAAAACTCACATCACATCATCTTCACATACTTACCTCAGGTTTTTATATCCTACTTACTCATATATATTGAATATGCACATTTTATTCTATACATAGTCCTTATATAAGCTCTTTATATAGGCTATATATGTGTATATATATATATATATATATATATATATATATATATATAGTTTACTACATTGTACCATAACCTCCTGCTGTGACCTGTGCAATGTTCCATCAATTCCATCTGTATATAAAAGCTGTAGATATAGTGGACATATAACTCTTATTCTTATTTTTCTATTCTATTTTTATTTATTGTCTATTTTGTTATGAATGTTGTTGTTTTGTATAAGGAGCTGCTGTAACAAGCGAATTTCCCCAGTATGGGACAGATAAAGTCCATTATCTTATCTTATCAATCAGATGTGGGGTTTTTTGCGTTTTAATTTGTTTAATGCATTTTCTGTAAGTTGTGTCACCAATGAGCTTCCATACACTTGGAACTAACTTTCTCTTACTGGGGAATCCAGTTGTAAGTCAGCAACACAAACATCTTGGTCTCAGAGGAAGTGATGACACTGATTGGGCCTTTAGTTAGGGGGACTTTATGGGATTCAGACCTCCAGCAGTATTACACACTGAGGTCCATCCTAACTTCCACTGCACGTTGTCCTCCGCACATTGTTACAATGACATAATGACATCTTCATGTGTAGGCTGGGGATGAGGGGGGTGTAGCCGGGGGCTCAACTGTTCTAACCCCACCTCCAGAGGAGTGAGTGTGGGAGCAGAAGTTCCTCTCTCTACCGGCTCCTGCAGTCTCCGGCTGAGCCTCCGTCCCGCTGCAGAGCCCGGACATTTTAGCATCATGGAGCTCCGTTATGCGCTCCTACTGTCCTGCCTGGTTGTCCCACTGTGCGCTGCGGACACTAATCTGAGCAGTCACTTTGTTTTGGAGCCCTATGACTTCCTCTTCGATACGGCGGTGGAAGCCTACTACAAGGGGGACTGGTTGACGGTGATCCTGAACATGGAGAAGGCGCTCAGGAACAAAGCTACGGTCCGCAGCGTGAAGGCTCAGTGCCGGATGAGCTGCGCCAACCGGACCTCTTTCGGCGACCGGCTGGCCGGCTTGGGAGTTCCCATACCGGGATCCGGATCTGTGGAGGATCTGGGATTCTTCCAGAAAATCCTGAAACGGGCGGACTGCGTTAACTCCTGCGAAACTGAGAAACTCGGTTCACCAACTATGCACCAAGTCACCGGAGAAGTGCAGCTGGAGTTCAGCAAGAGGACCCCGTACAATTACTTACAAGTGGCTTATTTTAAGGTATAAAGCGACAGGAGGCTACAAGCTATGAGCTGCATTCAGGGCTGTCCCTCTCTAAACTAACGCATCACAACTCTGTTCATATTCAGAGTTAACATGCAGGCCCAGAGGGAGGGAGAACTTCAAACACATTGTAGTTTTAGTCTCATTCAAGCTCTGAGTTGGTGTGGAGTTGGAGTTGGATACTGTAAATGCCCCAACCCCCCCAAAAAACCAGGGCGACCATGCCACGTCTTAAGGTGGAGTCAGCTTCTGTGGTCTGACGTTAGGACGTCGGTTTCTGGGATCCAGCGGTTTAAAGTGCTGCTTTCAAGCTTTGCTGGCACACTGGAGTACTTTTACCTGTAATAGAGGACAGGACAAGACAGTTATATGATTTGTAATTTTATTATCTTTCTTTAAACATTATTTAAGTCCATTTGTTATGTGTGTGTATTCAGAAATACTACTCTCAGGCCGAACCTGAAAGCAGCAACATCAGGAAACTGCTGGAGAATGGCACTAAAATCTGTGGAAGAAATGATCTGAAATACAGACAGTGCTGGGCTAGTTACTCAGAAACTGTATACTCCCTGCCAACAGTAATCAGTTACACTACTAGTTACATTACTTTTCTGCAACTGCCTACAAAATAGTAATGTTACAATGCAAAAATGAGTCAGAGGATGTGATTGAATTGTTGGATTTCAAATCAGTAGGGTGTCCCAACCAAAGTAATATTGGAAGTCATTGTTTTTTTGAGGAGTAACTGTAATGTTATTGCTGAAATGTATTAGTAATTACTTACACTACTAGTTACTGGGGAAAGTAAATTACTGTCATATTATTACTAGTTAATACGTTAATTAAGAGTGTATTTTAATATAATTCCTTGTTTAAAACATACTCCATGTAATGCAACCCCATAAATTGACCCAACATCATATTACATCATACAAAATTCCTGCTGATCACTTCCCCTGGATCACAGTGTACATATACAACATACTGAACACCGACCTGATGTGTTTGCTTTGATTACAGGCCACTGACGTTAGAGACACAGGTGAGGGTTACGGGGATTGTGTAGGTGTGTCATATGTGGAAGTCAGTGTAACCTACAAATGACTTCCTGCCTCTTTAACATTAGCTCTTCCAAAAGTAAGGTACTGGTTCGCTAAACTTACAGTCAAATATATATTTCACACCTGATTGATGAGGTTTGGTGAGCTTAGTCAAGTACTGAGAAAAAAATCAAAAGCAAAAATATAGCCAGGACTGCAGCTAACAATTATTGTTATTGTCAGTTAATCAATTGATCATTTTCTCGATTCATTGATCAGTTGTTTGGTCCATAAAATGTCAGAAAACCAGTGTTTCCCAGAAGGCCATGGTAATGTCCTCGAATGAATGAATTAATGCATACATGTTATAGTAAACAACTAATCCATTAATTGACTAATCGTTGCAGCTCTGCTCGTATTGTGTTTCCAGCATTAACAAGTAGCTGTTTTCAGCATAAAGCTCTAATGGTACGTTCCATATAGTCCAAAGCTGAGCGCTTACTGTGTGAATGACTGATTTAATGAGAAACAAAACACAGTGGTGCCAATAAACAGAATATTACTGCAACTTTCACTTAGTTGACACACGGAGCAGCCATCTTGGATTTTGAGGTGGTTGTTGAGGTTCCTCCGATTTTCCTAGTTAGAAATACGACTTCAGGGTGCATTCCAGTTAAACTTTGGATTTCAAATGGAATGCACCGTAATACAATCCCCTGCATGCTAGCTGCTTAGCACCAAACTGCTATAGCAATAAAGTAAGTGACAAGCTTAGCAGGTGAACACAGTGGAGCATTTAGCAGCTACAGTGCAAGGTATTTCCCTCAGGAGAGAGAGAGAGAGAGAGAGAGAGAGTATTGGACTTACACACTCCAGGTGGACAGAAACGCGACTCGAAAATCGAATGCTGATGTTGCTCTGTAACTGTTGGATGTGTAAATAAGAAACCTTTCGCAAACAGTCATAACAACTTTATAAAAAGTTCTATCAGTCTGCTGCTCTCAAGGGGGAAAGGGTATCTGTTTCCATTTTAATATAGATAGAGGTTGGATAGACCGAGCCTTGTTTGGGAGACAGCAGTGAATGCTGCTGATTAGGGTGTGTGGGAGGTGATTCATTGATTAATATGCCTCCAGTCAGAGAGGATGAGATGAACCCCTGTGTGTTTTTCAGATCAATAAGCTGGACAAGGCGGTGGCAGCTGCCCACACGTTCTACCAGGCCAACCCGGATCACATGGAGATGAGACAGAACCTGGAGTACTACAGGATGATGGCGGGAGTAAAGGAAGAGGACTTCAAAGATTTGGAGGCCAGGACACATATGGTGAGAGCAACCTCCCTCTCTAATGAGTCTCATGGCCAGTCTTTAGAGGGGGGCTGGTGGTCGATAATGTTTCTTTGCTTTGTTAACATATCAGTAATTGTTTTTGGTTCAGTTTATTTCAGAAACACTTTGTTACATGATCCATTCTCTACAGTAACATTTTCAGATACTTACTATGGTAGGTGCACCTAGCCAACTTAAAGTTTTAAAATAGCTTTTGTAAACCCAGACAAGTTGTTTCAAGACCTTTATGTGCACTTTGTTATTACTGCTGTTAAAATAGAGGGTTTGAACTCTAACATGTTTAAAGTATGTGCGTTGGCCTGTTTTACAGACTTGATTTAATGAAAGATGATGACTGTTGTCTAGAACAGTGATCCCCAACCCAGGGCTATGTGGAGAGATTGTTGATTTGCTTAACTAAAAGTTTAATTAATGATTTGATAAAAAAATACATCCATATTTTTAGTCAGTTGTAACAATTAATTTAGGTGTTTTTGCAGTCAAGAAAATCAGAAGCCTGTCACCATGGCTGAAGGCTCGGCTTGCCCCTTGAATCCCCATAAAAAAAGTTAAACCAGATGTGTGGAAATAGTATAGATTCCAAATAAAGAACAGGGAGATGAGGTGTTTCTATGTGTTTCTTAACTAAATGTAAGGTAAAGTGGTTCCACTATGTTTTAGTGCCATTTTAACAGTATGAAGTATATTTTTATGATTATGGTGATAATAAAGTATATCGTAATTATTATGAAATTTTCATATCGTCCCATGCTAATTAAAAGTTAAATAACATCCAGCTTGAAATGCACCCAAATGAACACATTTGGAACATGAATGGCGGTGTTGATGAAGGGACACCACAAAAAAGGTTGGGAACCACTGATCTAGAGATGGACGCTTTTATATGTGAAACTAGTAATATTACACAACATCCCCTCTGCAATGGTGACTGTAAGCCACCTCACTGGATGCCCGCTCGCTCTCTCCTCAGGCCGAGTTCCTGCTGGGGAAGAGTTACTACAGCGACGACTCTTTCGGCCTGGCGGCTAAACACTTCGAGGTGGCCGTAGACGAGTACTTCACCGCCGATAAGGAGTGCAGAGCGCTGTGCGAGGGGGCCTACAACTACGACGGATACAACTACATGGAGTACAGTGCCGACCTGTTCCAGGCCATGACGGGTGAGACAGGACATCCTTGGGGTTTCTGTGCAGAACAGATTCACATTTTTGAGAATATGCTGAAGTTTGTGTAAACGTATCTGTGTGTTTCAGACCACTACCTGCAGATACTGAACTGTAAGCAGCACTGCGTGGTAGAGCTGGCCTCCACTGCAGGCAGAGACAAGCCCTTTGAGGACTTCCTCCCCTCACACTTCAACTACCTGCAGTTCTCCTACTACAACAGTGAGTCTCACAGCCCTGTCTTTTTCAGCCTGTACTGAGGATCATACATGCCTCAATCTAATGGAATTATACCCTAAATGTACATAGATTTACAGCACCATTGATATTGCAGATAGCAGATATATAAGTTGAATTGGCCTTTTATAAAAAAAACAAGATGTAGAGTTTCCACAGTGTTTTATTGACTAATAATGACAGAGGAGGGTCACGCTCGATGACAAGAAGTCACTTTATTTACAGAGGACAAGAAGACAAATGGCCGTCCAGCCTTCACAGTGTCACAAGTATACAGTCCCTCGTAAATAGCAAACACACACAGGTGATACCCTTAAAGTAACTGGCATTACACGTAGGGAGACAATTACATTACAACTAATCAGCATCCAGCATTGGTACAAGGTAGAAGGTGGAGTCTAGCACCATCAACCAGACTTACTAAACCATGAAATCTCTTAGCTCTTATGATATGTTAATACGCATTTAAATAAATCAACACTCTGACCACAGTTGCAATGCACAATGCCTGCAGTAATATTTGATTAGCCATTAACCAGTTAAAATAATTGAAAATGTCTTTGGTGGTGGTTTATGTGAAAATCATCTCCTGCATTATAAGATGTATTAAATTATTATATATAAAAGCAAATCAAGCCGTTTCTCCCTGAAGAGGGGAGATACTGTCCCCTTAGAGCTCATTTACAGCCAAAGGTTTCATTTTAGCCATGATGGTATTAATGTTAATTCAGTACAGCTCATCTAATCTGTCACTATGTTGTCATTTAAACTGGTGAGACTAACTGGTAGCACCAGCTACAGGTGAGAAGCAGCTACCATTGCTCTGCTAATAATTAGGAACACGGAGGGATGAAAGGATCAAAACACCTTTTTCACAGCAGGCCTTTTGACATGAAATAGTAGGGTAAACACAGGTTATACCAATTAAGGTTCTGTTCCATTTAGTGTATTCCATTGAGCCAACATGCACAATAGCATCACCCTGACTCTATTTGCCCGGAATAGAACGGAGCCCTAATTAGTATCATTGGTAATGCCTGTGTTTAGCCTGCTATTTCATGTCAAAATGGCTGCTGTGAAAAAGGTCTATTAGGGATTTGTTAGTACTACTTAGAATAGTCTCCAAAAACACTTACTCGGCTAACCTTCCCACAATGCAGCTCTACCATATCTCTTATCGCGCCCAGAAGAGGCAATCTTGGCCTGTCCGCTGGCTACACTGTAAGCCCAGAAACATAAAGATATATGGTGTTCCCCGTAAACTGCACCTCCAGTGTATGAATCTTCATGATGACCTGCTGTCCTTTTTTTTTTCCTGCAGTGAGAACACTGTATTACTTTAGAACAGCTGTTGGAGACCTCATACCAGCTGTTCACCCTCCTGCTTCTGTTCCCTCTCTCCAGGTGAGAAATATGAGCAGGCCATAGAGTGTGCTAGGACCTTCCTGTTGTTCCACCCTGACGACGAGGTGATGAACCAGAACCTGGCCTATTATTCTGCCGTGCTGGGTGAAGACAAGGCAAAGACCATATCAGCCAGACAGGTACAGTCGGGCTAACTCGCACGATGCTTGGCTTTTGTTCAAAGCACTTTGTGAGTGCAGTTATTTTTAACTGTGTGTTATCTTATTCCATAACTATCAGCAATAAATCAGTTGTGAGAGAAAAATGGCCTCGAGTAGCACTTAAATGTACTCAAGGGCACAAAAGAGACATTAAAAAAGCACTGATGGTAATCTAAAGCAGAAAAACATTTGCTGCTTAAGCTATAAGTAAGATTTTTACTGCCACTGGCTCTAAATGTCCATATTATACAGTATTTATAGTGGGTTAATAGGGCTGCTGATCAATACTAATGACTAAGTGATTATTTCTCTGGCTGCTGAGATCTCTGGCTTTCACAACTAAACTCACTTTCCAGCCTGCGCTCAGTTTTGGAATAAAAACACTCCTATGGGTGAAGGTGTGGGTGGTAAAAAGCCTAAAACCAGTGCCTGAAATGGGCCAATACTCACCAGTACTGAGTAAACTACTGCATAACTGTGTCTCTGTGTAAACAAGTAGCTACCTTAATGCTAAGCAAACACACTAAAAATATCCTTTTTAATGAGGGTATAAAAACAGCAAAAAAATCTGGGCTAGGGGTATGTTTTGTTTAGGTGCATTTCAGGCACTGCCTAAAACTGTGAATGCAGTTTGCTGCATTTATATGGAAATGCAAAATTATTATTCATTCACCAAAACGCATTTTATTTATTTCATAATTTCATTTGTAGAGACCTAAAGTTATAATATCAAACCTCAAGTTTTTATATGTAATTCCCTCTCTAATAGTAGTTTAAACATTTATGACAGATGAAATTGTTGCACTAGGAAAAGCACAGGTTTGAATATTAAAACTAATGATGGCTGTATTCCATTTAGCTCACACTGGTACATTGGAACATCAGTTCATTGTTAATGTTATTAGTAACAGTTAGTAGTGTTTGTACTACTATGACAAGTCAAAATGTCTGCTGTTTAAAACTGCTAATGCTGGGCATCCTGTTTAGTGGTCCCAGACCACAAACTGTATCGTCCCCGGTTTGGTACCTTTGTTGCCTGTCATCACCCATTTTCTCTCTCTCTCTCTCTCTCTCTCTCTCTCTCTCTCTCTCTCTCCTTGTTTTCTGTCATCTCTGCACTGTTAGCTATCAAATAAAGCCATGACATTACCCCAAAACAATATTTAAAAAAAAAAAACAAAAAAGGTTGCTAGTGGCGGAGTCCGCCTTTCCCACATTGGAATGAAATTATGTACATGTGCAGAAGGTAATGATGCTGGCATGTACTAAAACTTACTGTCCCTCAGACAGGATACGGCACAAAAAATGACTAAGTGTAGGGCAGTCTGTGTTGAGCTTGAGAGGCAAAGGCTGGGGCAAAAATGCCCATATTGGTTACTTAATGCCCCCCTTGATGTAGCTGTTTTCTGCACATTTAATTGAACACCAATGTATCTCATCATTCAACTGATGTCTGGCCTCCAGGTGGTGAAACTGTACATGCAGCAGTCCATACTGGAAAAAGAGCTGCTCTACTTTGGATATGAAGCCTTCGGAGTCACCTTTGTAGATCCAGTGAGTGAATAAATAATTTGTTATCCGTCACATAGTTAACTCATGCTTGGCGGTATCTTACTTGTGCCTTTACAACCATTTTGAATTCAGGACACATGGACTCCTGAAGATGTCATGCCCAAGAAACTGAGAGACAAGCAGAAGTAAGATTGCAGACACCGCCTCACACACATTGGTGCAGGGCATGAATAAATGTTTGTTGACGTCATGTTAAAGCCTCTGTCATTCTACCTGTGTGTGTGTGTCTCAGAGCCGACAGAGAGACTGCAGCGAGGATCACAGAGGAAATAGGAAACCTAATGAAGGAGATTGAGACTCTGGTTGAGGAGAAGAAGAAGGATTCTTCAGATATTGCCATGATTATATCGCCACAGGAAGGTAAAAGTTCCAGCCAGTTAGTGAGATGTTCATGATTTAATCTTTAATATTTCATATGTAAACAAAACTACAATAAATACCAAATTTAACTATAGTACTTACCTGAGAAGGTTTAAGCCTGACAGTCTGACTTTTACTCCCTTGACCCTGTAACCTTTCTCCCCTAGGTGTCAGTGTGTTGCATGATAACATCAAGGTGACCATGACGCCCCAGCAGCTGAACGGCTCTCAGCGGGTGCTGCTGGATGGTGTGATCAGTGATGACGAGTGCAGGGAGCTGCAGCGCCTCTCCAATGTGAGCTATCTAAAGAATGAAATCACTTACAGCTTATTGATTTAACTGTACTGCCACAGAAACAAAAGTTGTTAGTTTTAACAGGATAGAACAGAAAATAAACCACATTACTACTAAAAACAAATGGCAACCATAGACTGTATAAAATATGGAAGTTGTCTCCGTGACATCAACTATAGGTTTCTGAAAATGGACAAATGCATGGAGCGTTGAGAGTTGAGGAGGCCTTAATAAAGCCAGGTTACCTGTGATGACACCCATCTATGTCACTCAAAGTGACCATTCCCTTAATTATGCATAACTTGAAGCTTGAATAGAATTTATATAGGGGAGTAATATAAACGTGTGTGTCAGCCCGTCATGTCAGACAGTTGATGTTGTGCATATTTCCCAGGCAGCAGCTCTGAAAGGTGATGGCTACAGGGGGCGCCCTTCCCCCCATTCCCCCAGTGAGATGTTCCAGGGAGTCACTGTCCTGAAGGCTGTGAAGGTCTGTAGTCCTACTCCCATAAGTGTTAAGCCAAGTGTTCTCATTAGAAAACAGCCACGCAGACACAGTTTCAACGTACCAACATTAATTAAATAGAACGTTTATTTAAAGATGTTGACCTACATTGGTTTCATCCATGTGGCTGCTGTTAAAGCTGCAGTAGCAAGTTTTTATAAAGATATTTTTTGTTATATTTGCTGAAACTTTCCCCATATCCCGACAGTAGTACATGACACAGATAATCTGTGAATAATTCAGGTTCCTCTGGCTCCCCCTAGTTGCATCTGAAAGAATCCACCGGGCTAAAAGAAAACATCCAATCAGAGTCAAGAAAGATTGCTGATTGTTGACTTTCATTCCCAGGGCGTCAAATACAGATGCTTTGGGACCCTGGAAATGAGACTCAACAATCAACTGTCTCCAAGCCTCCAACCCAAAACGTCTTTGTACCTGTATATGTTTTTGTTCAGGCCCAGTGGATTCTTGCAAATGCAACTAGGAGGGAGCCAGAGGAATCAGATTTTTTCCACATGTACTACTGTCAGGATACTGTAAACATTTCTGTAAATATGACAAACGTTATTTTATTTACGTTAGCTACCGCAGCATAAAATGGTGTTTCCCCATTCTGCAGCTCGGACAGGAGGGGAAGGTTCCACTGAAGAGCACTCGTCTGTTCTTCGACCTTAGTGAGAAGGTGAGGAAGGTGGTGGAGTCGTACTTCCACCTGGAAACTCCGCTCTACTTCTCTTACTCCCACCTGGTCTGCCGCTCCGCCATCGATGGTAAGTCAGAAACTAATCCACTGCATTCAAAGTTCAGTATTACTGGTTTGTAATCAGTACTGGTTTTACTGATTTGTGTGATCACGGCTAAAAGTTTTTTCTTTGCACTGTTGTTTATTCAGAGAAGCAGGAGGAACGCAAAGACCTGAGTCATCCTGTTCATGTTGACAACTGTCTGCTGGTCTCTGAGATTAACGAGTGTATAAAGGAACCTCCTGCGTACACACACAGAGACTACAGGTGAACACACACACACACACACACACACACACACACACACAAGTACACTACAGGGTCTATCATTCAGCCAGACAACTCTGATGACGAGCATCCACATCCTATTGTCTCTCCCCTGCAGTGCCATCCTCTATCTGAATGATGACTTTGAAGGAGGAGATTTCATCTTCACTGAGCTGGATGCTAAAACAGTCACGGTAAACTTTCGGCTTTTCTTTCCACAATCTTTTTTGACACGTCTGGTACATATAAACAAAAACCATAACGAGCTTCACTGTTATTAAATGTTGCACGTTCTATATTTTCATGCTCCTCCAGGCCGAGGTGCGTCCACAGTGCGGCCGTGTGGTCGGGTTCGGAGCGGGGAAGGAGAACCCCCACGGCGTCAGAGCCGTCACTAAGGGTCAGAGGTGCGCTGTGGCACTGTGGTTCACCCTGGATCCTACTCACGAGGAAAAGGTACGGACGATCTCTGTAGACTAAAATTAGTATGACAAAAATCGCTTGGCTCTGATTGGTTGTTTTTATTCAGGCCCGGTAGATTCTTGCAAATACCATTAGCAGCACTAGGAGGAGCCAGAGGAACCTGATTGTTTCACGGATTATCTGTCTCATGTTCTACTGTCAGGATATATTTAAAATGTCAGAAATTAACAAGAATAATAGTTACTTTTCATAAAAGTTACCTACTGCAGCTTTGAGAAAAGTTTATTATAAAATTGGGCATTTGCCATCTGCAAAGACAGATAATGGCCGGTAAATGCAAAATAATTGCAAGTGTAGATAATGGTGTTTCACTTTTTGATAACAGCGATTGTTCTGCATGTATACTTGTCTGGAAAATATCTAATCCAGTTATGAATGGTAGGCATGAGCGAGTACAGTATTATCTGTATCTATTCAACCAAGTAAAGTATCTGTAGCTGTAGACCTGGAATATGCGGAGCTTTAACCAGACGTGGGTGGTGCTCAAACCAGAGGCGAACATAACCTTATTATTTAAGCCTGATCACTGTTGATCAGAAGTTGAATAATTTATTAGAAAAGTCTTTACAGAACAGCCTCAGAATTGAGCTTCAGAGCACTGTTTTTGATCAGAAGAAGAAAAGAAAACTATTTTCTTACTATTTACTTTTCACTTTATTTATTTACTTATTTACAGTACATTATCTGTACTGAATACTCGTTTCAGCCGGGTTCTTGCTCAACTATATTGAACAGAGTTTTTATCTGCCTCATTTTTATTCTTAATTATTGCATCTGGCATTCTGTTGTCCCTCAAATGTTTATTTTTCTGTCCTGTAGGAGAGAATCCAGGCTCAGGATATCCTGCATATGTTTTCTACCCCTGTAAATGAAGAGTTCATCAAAAGGGAGGTGACTGACACCTCCAAGCCCCAGCCGACAACCGCAGAGCCTCCTGTGCAGACTGAACAGGAAAAAGCGGACGACAAACAAGAAGATAAACCAGCAGAGCAGAAGCTGGACGCACCAGCAGACGTGCAGGCCGATAAACCAGCAGAGCAGAAGCTGGACGCACCAGCAGACGTGCAGGCCGATAAACCAGCAGAGCAGAAGCTGGACGCACCAGCAGACGTGCAGGCTGATAAACAAGCCGACTCACCGAAGGACAGAACGGAGGCCAAACCGGTCTCTAAAGCCAAAGCTGCTCCTAAAGCAACGACCAAAGCTGGAGCGCAAGTGAAGACCAAGACGGCAGACAAAGCCAAACCTGCTGCTAAAAAAGATGGAAAACAGACGGTTAAAACACAAGCCAAGCAGGTAAAGGACGGCAAAAAAACGGCTGCAAAAAAGACGGTAAAAGTTGCAGCCAACAAGGACCCCAAGAAAGCTAAAGCCGATGCCACGTCGGCCTCAGACTCTGAGAGCGACAGGGACGAGCTGTGATCCAGCAGCAGCTGGAACTGTGTCTGTGTGGTGTCTATTTTTCTACTATTTTCTACAAGGTCTCCTCTGTGGGTGGTTGAATGGAAAAGGAGTGAAAGGTTGATTTCGTGAAAGGTTATTTGTCTTTTAATTAATTGGTTATTGTGGAGGATGGAATTGTGTTTAACAAAGTCAGCCATAACTTAAAAATACCAAGGGACTGCTGTTTCACTGCAGACATACTGACAATCTGCCAGAGTGCCTTCATCACTGTGACCATCTTTGTTTGGCATCCAAAGCTTTGTGTAGCTGCTACATTTGTTCATCTCAGTTTCTAACCTGAATTTTCTGTAGCTGTTGTTGGAACCAAGCACGGGTGGGTTAAAGAGGGAGGGGGAGGGTTAATATGTGAAGAAAAACTTAAATCAGCTGTGTGAATCAATGAAATAAAAGTGATGTTTCTAAACTGTGCTGAATTTTCATTAAAAAAAAAAAAAAAAAGCAATACTCCGAGCTGGCACTAGGTGTCAGGATGGCAGCACTGTTCAGTTCACACTCTCTCCCTGCTGGTGTAACAGACCATAACAAATTCACTTTTGAGAGAAATCCTCAGGTAGTGAACTTCAAGGTTCTGTGGAATCCTTCTGCTCTCCTGCTGCGATTTGATTTCAACCTGAATAATTCAAAGCCCAAGCGCTCATTGTTCTTCATCTTCCTTGAAGCTCAGCACATTTCAACGCTGTCACATTATAAACCTCTGCTTGGGAAAACTAACATGTCTAACTCATACTGTCAGTGGTCTTAAGTCTGTGTGTGTAGGATTTCTCGCTTCACAAAGGATATATTACCAGTTCTCTCCAGCTTTCCCCACAGAGTCACATGTGATAGAAACGCTATTAATGATTCATTTCCAGTGGAGGAGAGTAACATTTTTTAGGTACATGTTACTTTCCTTGAGTATTTCATTTTATGCCACTTCATACTTAAATTTCAGAGGGAAATATCTCACTCACTACATTTATTAAACACCTAGTTAAAATATAAAATATGATGCATTATTTAAATGAAATCATCCAATATGTATTCATATAAAGTTGTTAAAATGAGGTCCTTCTTGACCAGCTACGTTCAATTCAATTCAATTCAATTCAATTTTATTTGTATAGCGCCAATTCATAACAAGTTATCTCAGGACACTGTTCAAATAGAGCAGGTCTAGACTGAACTCTTTATAACATTATTTACAGAGACCCAACAGTACCACCATGAGCAAGCACTTGGCGACAGGGGCAAGGAAAAACGTCCTTTTAAGAGGCAGAAACCTAGGACAGATCCTTCGGCTCTAGGTGGGTGTTCATCTGTCTCGACCAGTTGGGGTGAGAGAGAGAGAGAGAGACAGAGACAGACAGACAGACAGACAGTTGCACAGCAACAACAGTAGCAACGACTACACTTATAGTAGTAACTTCAAATTCTACTTACATTTTCATATGTCAATAATAATGATGAAGCAATATGATCTGTAAAATATTATCACTCTAAAAGAAGCCATTTGGCATAATTCATACGTACATTTTGCTGATAATAATTGCTGTTAGTTTGATAAATGTCTTAATAATATGTGTATTGACTACTGACTGGCTGATGAGATTATTATCAGCTTATTTTACTATGCTGTAAATGGTTGCCGTGTGTGTGTTTCATGATGTGCTTGTTATTGAAGGTGGTATTAATGACACAGTTTTGAGGCCAGGTTGTGAAAGATCTTGTGGTGTGTGACCCTTTTAATGATCAGTCTCAAATGACTTTATTTTGTTTACTGTAAAATCAAAGTAGTGTAGTGTGAACTACAAAGAGTCTTGTACAGTGACCGAGAGTTAAGGCAGGGGTCTCAAACTCAAATTGGCTTGGGGCCACTTTTGGTTTTGTCATCTCATAGGAGGGCCACTTCAAAATACGTTCTTTCAAAGTACTGCTAGAGCAATATTCTGAAAGTATTTCCTCTACGAACATCATACTTAACTTAATTTTTAAATCAACATTTTATATCATCTGTTCTCTTTTTGTCGACTCTTTGCACACATCTGCAGGCACCTTACATTTTTAAAATAGATAGATTTTTATTTTAATTGTACATGAAGGGGTAGTTTAAATTGACATGAAACAACTAAAAAACAAAATCTTGCCAGCCAGATTATATTATATTTTTGACATCATGTTGTGGGCTACAGGGGGATGAAGGTCTGGAAATGGATCCCGGGCCAGCAGTATGTGGTCCCTGTGTTAAGGTTTCTTTCTACCAAACTCAGTGGGGCACCAACTAACGCTACAACTCATCTGAGGAGGACGCCCTTTTTGTTTGCATGTTTGGTCCATGAGTAAATGCGCACTTCCTTCTGCGCAGTGATACGTAGTTCCTATTCCTGTCGTTCCTCCACGAAACTGTTCACAACATGGTCTGTGGATTATCTTGAGGTAACCAGCTCATGATTTCCAGAAAGAGACATTGCTGTTGAGTTTTTCAAATGTATTTTTTTGGCGCTTTGAGCACCACAAGCTGAGTGCCTTCTGGTTCCATTATACAGGAGAGATAGCAAACATTCCTCCAAAACTCTGGAACTCACACCAAAACAATCTAGATGGATACATAGCACTAGAGGTAAGAGGGAAATATGTCTGATTTTGGGGTGAACTGTCCCTTTAAAGTTAAAAACTGCTGCTGAAAGACTGCAAGCTTGTAGGTTTCCCAGTACAGCTAGTACACAAAGGACATCACATAAAAAGACACAAGCAGGAGGCAATAATATAAGACACAGTATAAACTAAATACAACTAAACAAAGCATGCCTCAGCAGATATAGGCTCACAGCTGCTTTTTAAAGGTGTCCAAAATGTCTCCAGATCTCCAGTCTAAAGGGAGTGACGGAGTGACTCTCCTTTTATAATAATAATAACGGATTACTGCTGTCAGCACTTGATACCTTGATATCTTGAAACCCAAAGGGCTTCACAGCTGGGGGGGAAACCGACCTCAACCACGACCAATGTGGGCAGCCATCATGTGCCAGAACGCTCTCCACACATCAGCCTGAGGTGGAGAGGGAGGGAAACGTAAAGCCCTTTACACAGGGGGGTGATTAGGTGGCCAGATGGACAGAGCCGGGTTGGGAAGTTTGACAGGACACCGGGACTTGCCATGGGATCTTTAATGACCACAGTGAGTCAGGACCTTCTAGACCACTTTAAGGATCAACATTTTTGGAAACGTTTTTCTGCTTTCTTGCTGAGACATAAGAGGATTGATACCACTCTCATGCATGTGTGCATTAAATGTGAAGCTACAGCCAGCAGCCCATTAGCTTAGCTTAGCTCTGTCCAAAGGTAATAGAAATCCTCCTGGAGTCTCCAGTGGGTGCCAGAAATAGCCTCCTGGTAAAACCACAACGTGTCGTTTTTACACTTTGTATTTTGTACTGAGTGAACAAAGAACACAGAGCCAAGCTAGCTGTTTCCCTGCTTTCAGTCTTTATGCTAAGCTAAGCTAACTGGTGACTGTAGCTTTAACATACAGACATAAAAGAGTTCAATCTTCATATCTGACTTTAGGCAAGAAAAGCAAATGAGCATATTTCCCAAAATGTCAAACTATGTCTTCCTATCTATTTGTGACTCCTCGTATGCTATGGTCTTATTGAGGACCTGAAATCTGAGCAGTTAAAAAAAAGTGATTGTTCCTGTTGAGGGCCTGAAATAACGGATATTTGTGTTGGCCACCTGGGGGCAGTGGGGACATGCTGTGAGCCCAACATTGACATGTTATCACATTTCTAAGGTGAAAACAGTCAGCAAACAGCTCCTTATTTACTCATCCAGCTGTTAGAAGTCATACATTCACTCTCTTTTAGCTGTTTTTAGACTCTACCTGAGGGAAATATCTGGTTCTTTAGCTGCTAAATGCTCCATTATGGTCACCAACTAGTCTCTAACTGTGTCTGTCTGCTGTGTGGTGCTGAGCAGGCAGTGTACACTGACGCTATGAAAGCAGTGAGAGTGTACTGACACTGAAGTTATTTGATTGAAATATTTAGCCAGCAATTCCAGCCATGAGCAAGTCCTTGGCGACAGTGGCAGTATCCAGTATTTGGGAACCACAGATATAGATGGAAGGAAATTAAAGCATTGAATGAACATCTCCATCTCAGCTTGATAACAGAATTACAATTCCATGTAGGCATTAACATTAGCATATGTGGTCTTATTATAAATGTCTGTTCTATCTATTGTACTGTTGCTTCTGGAGTGTGTGCGTGGGCAGCTATGACTCTGGGAGATGTGATGTGATGTCTGTGTAGGTTTAGCATGTGGATGAAGTCATGCCCTCACAGAGAGGCCATCTGGACACACACGGGGTGCAAAATATGGCAGTCCAAATAATAAGCACAAAACAGTAATAGCAGCGTCACTCACAGAGAATATCGAGGAGGCGTTTGACAGTCCCACTGCTGCCCTATATATGAAGCCCATGTACAGACTGTGTCAGTGTGAGTCAAATATTTAGTGAAAAATTCCTTCAACTCTGTTTAAACAGTGCAGTCAGTGCTGACGCAGGACTCTGAAACACATGCATGCAGTGCATATCTACACACCCACCCATCCACCAACACAAACCCCAACAGACATACACTGTCCACGGAAATACACAAATCAACACGGACACTGTGAAAGACTTAGCAGGAAGTCCCATGTTTATTTACATTCAGAAAATGCCTAATTTTAGTTTGATTGAGCCCGTAGTGTGATTAATGTGAAGGGTAGATGGACTGCCAGGCATAAACCAACTCCCAACCTCCTACAGCATGGAACACATGAACAGGACCCCTCTGCTCTGCTGGTTGTGTGTGTGTGTGTGTGTGTGTGTGTGTGTGTGTGTGTTATACTGTCAGAGCTTTCTTTGTATCTTCTTACTCTTGTTTGATTAAAAGAGGGAGAGACACACACAGGCCACTTTGTTTTTCTCTTATTTGTGGCCTTAGGATTTGACCATTGTTTCTCCGAAAGAGAGTGGGAGAGAGAAGGGGGGGGTGCAGTGTTTGAGAGTACAGTAGACAACGGAGGTCTAGCCCGTGATTGGTACAGCCGTCTCTGACTGTTCTGCCTACAGCCGCTCAGCATTTCAATACATTTTCATGTATCAAAAGTTCTTTTTTATTATTCCACTTTAAAACACCACAAACTGAGCTAGTGCATTGCTATAGGCCTGTGCCACATGGTTGGTCCTTGTTGCCATGGCAACGTGGCGGGCATGGAGACGGAGGTGGCAGGTTGGGGTCAGGCACAGTGGGGCGCGGAGCTGAGATTAACTGTGACTGTGACTCTGGAGAGAGGAGAATAAAACAGCAGGCTATCAAGGACTGACATGACCTCCGTCTCTCCGCTCCTCCGGCTACCGGCGGCACATCCAAAGGA